CTGGTACATGTTTGATCACAAAAAATGACAGCACTTATGTGTAGTAGTCATGAAAACCTTCTACACTAAATTGATCAAATATCGTCTGCTCAAGACGTCTCACAGCGTGTAACGATTAAACATTTAACGATTAAACATTTCGTACTTGAATGGGATCCTGGATTATTTAGCATACTCCAGCAATGCGTGATGCACATTTAAAATATAATTACAATACGGCCGTTTTCAACAATCGATGCATTACGATTATATTTATAAGTGAAATAAGAAAAAAACCTGTAAGATACCACATCATTACAATATAGATGATGACTGTCCCTTGCCTGGTTGCTTAATATACATTGTATGATAGCTACCTGTCACGTATCAAGGGTCATATCAAAGGTCACTCGATGATAATATATTTATAACAAGCCAATCAAATGTGAGATAACTCTTGCTTTCAACCAATATGACAGTAGCTTTCTTTTACGTAACGATCCAGCTTTTGTCCATCGTCCAAGTTCTCTGTCGATTCTATTACTTACTTTGATGTTGTGCAATTTGTCATCTGCTAATTTTAGCTTCAAGTTGTTGAACGTTGTAACTATAATATAATCAGAATTGTCAGTCTTTCTTGTCTCGAAACAAACCCCAAAACCCCAAAAGTATTTAATTGTAAATACATTTCTGTATACTTGATGTTATGTCATGAGTGACCTCACGGCACTCTCTGGTTTTAAGTGTGACAAGTGTGTTCCGATACAATTACATAATTACTTGCAGGAAAGCGTAAGTTGTCGTCTGATTGGCTACTGCAAAGGTGACCCTGAGTGGGAAGATGCTTGGTCTTCTTCCACATTACATGTCAATTAACGGAAGCGATGCGAAGATATATTTTTTATTAGACCGGACTAGCCCACCCAGGACGATACTCACTTGCTGTTAGTAACACCTGGTCCATTGCAGATTATTAAAAGCTATATGTACATTGTCTAATAAAGAGTCCGAAGGTGTTAACCCTCAGCCTTTGTTTTGACTTGGTCATATTATGCATGAAATTCTTAATGTTTTTGTCCGTGTTGCTATGGTGACCATCGTACGGAACCACGTTTTAGGTTGCTCTTGACGTTGCCGTCCAGCTCGCTCTTGATATCATCAGTGAGGTAACAATCCAGACTATCCAGGGTGTACTTCCAAAGTGATTCCTGGTACGCAACGTTCCTAAAGAATGACAGAATCGTCTTGAGTGAGCAACAATTATATCTTACGGTCTTAATAAATTTTCAAAACAATTGAAAAAAGGTATATAAATCTTGATACCAATTTATAACTAGTGTAAATAATAAGAATGATCTGTCCGTTACCATGAATCTTATCCTTCGTTAGTTTTTATTTGGAAGACATGTAAAATATCATTGTTAAACATTACAGTTGATGACACAAACGTACCTTGCAGCTTCTGCTGGACATTCGCCTCTACATTTGACGAAATACACATCTCTCACTCCGGCTAAATCTGGATTAATCGCTGCGTTAAGTGTCGTCTGCGCTCCCTCAAACGGGGTTACCGAGTAGCCTATTAAAAAGAAGATGTATTTTATTAAAGTTATCAAGTATGTAAGATTTGTGGGGAGGCGTTAGGTACTGTGTACGTGTCAGGGGAGGAGGAGACGTCCAAGTTGTTCTTTCAACTAGTTTTGTTACATGAAACATGCACCAGTTCCAAAAGAAAAAGAAACCGCGTTATATTGTCATAACTTATACAGCAAGATGTCGATGTCGGCCTTATGAAGTAATTCGGCAATGTATGTTTATCCTTGGACATATAAAAGAATTGTGTAAATATACACATAAAAAGGGAGTCATTAATTTGCACACATGATAGGGAATAATACATGATGTTGCCCTCAATCGCCTCTCTATAAAAATGAGCAAAACGTATCACACATAGAGTTACAGAAGCAGATGATAATAACGGTGGGTATGACCATTTTTGAAGTTGTCTTCGCTCTCTTGAAATATACTTAATTTCGGGTTAAGAAATAATCATGTTTCCCTACAACAAAGGGACATGTATTACCTAATCAGTTATCGTGTGGTCTTGTAGGACCTTGTTGTGTTGATGGGGAGTTACCGTGTGGCCATGTAGGACCTTGTTGTGTTGAGGTGGAGTTACCGTGTGACCATGTAGGACCTTATTGTGTTGATAGGGAGTTACCGTTTGACCTTGTAGGACCTTATTGTGTTGAGGTGGAGTTACCGGGTGGCATTGTAGTACCTTATTGTGTTGAGGTGGAGTGATCGTGTGGTCTTGTAGGACCTTATTGTGTTGAGGTGGAGTGATCGTGTGGTCTTGTAGGACCTTGTTGTGTTGAGGTGGAGTTACCGTGTGGCCATGTAGGACCTTGTTGTGTTGAGGTGGAGTTACCGTGTGGCCATGTAGGACCTTATTGTGTTGATAGGGAGTTACCGTGTGGCCATGTAGGACCTTGTTGTGTTGATAGGGTGTTACCGTGTGGCCATGTATGACCTTGTTGTGTTGAGGTGGAGTTACCGTGTGGTCACGTAGGACCTTATTGTGTGTAAGAAGGGCTAGGTACCAAGGATATTCAATATTTCGTTTACGGTGATACCTGGATAATGCCGATACATGACTTTTCAAATAAAAAGAACAGGTAAAGCATCGAAGATTGCAGGAACTTCTGCTTTGCATACATGTAATACAAATTAACTACACATTAGTTGTTCTCACCAATCAGCTTTGCCATGAACATGCCCATTCTCATAGTAGGGAAGTCTTTGAAATTTCGCTCCAGTTCCGTTCGTACAACTCCTGGGTGTAATGACGTCACAGTGACGTTTGAGCTTCGAAGTCGACGATTCATGCTGTACATTTGCATAATCTAAAAACAATTAAAATAAAGTGCGTAACTATGCCTACTGATTGATTATGTCAACAAATCTTTTTTTCAGGTTACTTTAACTCAAAATTCCCGAGGCGAATACATTTAAACCCTTTTACGCATGAAGGTTTTTTTCTTTGATAACTTACCGCTTAATTAAGTAATGACTTTGAACGATTCGTCATACAAGGTCTATTCCACTTGTTTTAGCTTTAATGGACTAGCTTTTCATTGGTTATGAAAACTTAGTAAAATGTTACATTTCTTACCTCATTCAATCACTTTATATTACACAGTTAAATTCCCCTTACACAAATTGCATGTAAAATTCCTCCATTTTTAAGGTAAGAATACTCTCTGTCTATGACAGCCTAAAACTTCTGTTAACGACGGGTGAAACCCCCATTATACGACTGCGTGAAAGATTGTAAAAATACTCCGTTTACCACTAGTGAAATATTTTTTCCGAAATTTCTGTTTACTATCTGTTTCAAATGGTGAAATCTTCCGTGAACGACTGCTATAACACTCTGCCTATTACTGCTAAAATCCTTTTTACGACAGGTAACATCCTCTGTCTAAGACTCCTATGCTAACAACAGGTACAATTATCTGTCTAAGACCCCTCTGCTAAACAGGTAACATCCTCTGTCTACGACTCCTATGCTATCAACAGGTAACATTCTAAATAATCATTCGGCGTTTGCATAAAAGGTGCATTTATATTTATAATGTCGTTTGGACGTGTTGTTTGAGCATTGGTTTAATAGATTCCAAATTAATTTTGATCTAAAGTTGATATAGCAAGTCAGCTTGACCAATATAGTTATGTGCAAATCCGTTCAAGAAAAAAGGTAATCACAAAAAAGGTGTCAACAAATGAAGTGGAAAACATAGTAGACATCACTTAAATTTCTTTTACCTGGTAGAGTTTTGAACGGCCATAGTACTGCAGTCTATCGAAGTTACGTGGGGAGTACTGTCTGCCGTGAATAGTGGACAGTTCAAACTTGGCGAGACTGTGCAGCATGCTGGATACAAGAACGATGCGACAATCATCTCCTGATCGCTTCATAAGCGGAAGTAGATGGGCGGCAACCAGGAAGTGGCTCAGATAATTCACCTGAGATGCAGAGATATTTCTTCATCAATATAAATGTCATCTATAAACGTTTGTCGTCTACGAAAGTTGATCGGTACATTTACTTAAAACAACATTACGTTGAACAAACGACATATTATCATTATACATACAATTTCGTTTTTAAAAGGAGCCATACGGTCACTCTTTTAAAAATATGCAACTGCTAAATACATTTTCTTTTAACAGCCACTTATATTATGTCTCACATCTCACAGAACTGTTTGACTTGATTTAGGCTTTTTGTATTAAGGACCAAAACTTTGTCAAGTTATTGGTGTTAACCAGAAAAAAATAGGCTTTTTCACCATAACTATAAATTGAAAAAAGTGAAATATTGGCTGGAAGTTAGCGAAAATCCATCCTTTGTATCAAAGTGTTCCGACTTACTGTTATATCAGACATACAGCGATATTCTTATTTCCTATAAAATATCCAAGAAAATCTTGCACTACTTCATTTTTTTGTAATCCAAACAAGTTGTTTAATGCCAGATCAAATCAGACATTTGTCTGTTGTACATGTGATATGCAATAACCCAAACCAACTATTAAAGACCATTTGTAAAACTTGTCTCAAACAGTACCATGGTTAAACTAGAAATACGGAGAAATGGAACATTTATACATTGTAGATGAATAAGCTAAACATTAAGTTTTATCATACCTCTAGTGAAAAACCTGTTATATGATTGGTCAAGACAAATTGTTCATTTCACACTATCTCATTTGCTTTAACATTGAGTCAACGGAAGGATGCGTCCCAACACCCAACGAGTGGCAGTGTGTGTGTGCTAGCGCAAAATAGTGACAGCGCAAAGAAGATGCGCGTACGGTTCGTTTCAGCTGCCATGTTAGGTGATCAAATAAATAATTGGGTTTCGATGATAATCCCAGTAGATAAACTTGAATTCATTTTATATGAATCTCACCTGAAAGTGGATTTCGTTTTCATCTTCCGTAAAAGCTACAAGAAAAGTATGTAAAACAGTTATTGTCGAAGTACTATGTAAATATTTTCATATGTTTTATAAAATCAATAACAATACGGAATTAACTTGAATAGTATGAATATTTACATATATATATAAGTATATGCAGAATATTTCGTTACAACGAGAATCATGCTGCCAAGACATGATTTCAATGGTTATAACCAATACGATGGGTTATTACAAGTCGAAATTATATTATTTTCAAAATGATCTTAAATGGATAGTTTCCTTGTTGAAGGTTAACGTCCTCTTTAGGTTTAAATGAGATACCACGGACGATTGGCCGGTACGGAGTCTACTTTGAAGTGTTATCTCACTGAACTGTCACGGTAACATGACGACCTAACTAATCACATTATTCTGATAAAGGATAAACTGGAAAATGTAATCTCCTTACAATTTTAATCGTTGGTTTTGACTAATAATTAAGTAAACAAGGTGTTCATTACCTTGTTTATGCATTCCGATTCCAGCGTTACAGATCAACACGTGAAGTTTGAGGCCAGTTTTCTTGAATTCGTCAACAAATTCCATGGTTGATTTTAAAGAACTACAGTCTAGCTTCATGAAGAAGACGTTCAGCTGCGTGTTGCCTTCGAGACCTCCAAGTGATCCCTTTGTCCTTTCTTCATCATACTCCAGGTTCATCCGGGCAATTGCCTGCAAAATGGTAAACCACTAACATCAGGCCACTTTTTGAAGTTGTACATAATTCAAAACTTCCTTAGGTTTTTATTGTTAAAAAATATCGGGCCAGGGAGAAAGCCTTAAAAAAGAAAACATAAGTGAGATTATGAAAGTCAGAGGTCACCAATGCATGTGTTGTAAAGAGTAATCAGCTCATATATGTCCTTTACTCTGATTTCAAATAAATGACACAGAACAAATACCCCCTCCTCTCCAACTTGCATGAACCTCAGCCTAAAACGACCTCGTAGTTGGATTCAGCAGGCAAATTATTTCACTGTACCTCCAAGGAATTAGGAGCTGCGTGTGTGTGATTGGTGGTAAACCACTCAGGTAAGCTGCGCTGGGGCATTCTAGATCGTTAACAGGTAAATCGAAACTATTATGTGAATGTGTCAAAGTTGTGTTTTTTTCCGATAAATATTCTCTGAGTGGATTGATTCCATAAGACAATATGCTTTTCTTAATGTCTAATTCATGTACATAACATTGATATTGATTCGGGTCTGTAGCAACTTTAGTTCCATAAATATTTTTTATCATCACATCTGAGATGGCTGATATTAATTTAGGTGAACATATTTCTTCTTATGCAGTTTTTTTCAAACTTGGATGCATCAATCTATTTATGGGATTATTGATTTTGCTATCAAAGCTGCTTTACTTTTTACCAAAAAAGGATAGTCACACGCAACTGGCTGAGTAATTTTTGATAAGAAGATTTACAATACTCAGCACAAGAGATAATATGCCGAGTTTCTGTAACCTGGACTGCACATCACCATATGATATAATGTTACAATGCTATTTACTAAGTAGGTGTTGATTGACTTCTTGAATAACTCTACGTCATCTACGATAAACATGTTTGCTTTGTTCTCATCTGTTTACTTTACCAATTGATATTGATGTATTTTAAATGTTCAGTTTATCAGCTCAAAATCTTATTTCAAAACAATTAATTGCTGTGTTTTTCTCTCTCGACTCGTGTAAAACAATTTTAGTTTATTTGCTATCTCATGAACTGACCTCTTCTGCTCTGCTCTTTGATCTGCAGGCCATAATAACAGTTCCTCCCAGCATGGCTATCCATTTTGCTGTCTCGTATCCGATGCCTGCAATAATAACAATACATTTTACGTTGATAAAGTTACAGTGATATTCATTACAAATCTATATTTGCTCGGATAGTTGTTTTAAAATATGCTGCATTGTTATGTTATTTAAGTAATCATTTTTGCCTAGTTTAGTAGCTGGCTTATTCTGATTATAAAGAGAAAGAAGCAAGTGAATGGCCGTGTGTTTGAATCCCTTTAATGAGTGATGAGGATGACGACGCGAAATGTATGCATCATTTGTATATGCTAAATAAGACAAGAAAATATTCAGTATTGTTTTCATAATTATCTAATTTTAAATAAATGCCCCGATGATTCAAAATAACCAAAACTAACCCTGTTATCACGTCGCTAACAAAGGGTTTATAATAAGTCCATGTTGAATGTATTTGTGTTTCTTATAAACATGCTATTAAAGGTTTATCGAGTTTTAGATTTCGGTTTTGTCACTTGTCGGTGTCTATCATATCAGCACCATTACTCTGGGGTCAACTAGTCATTAACAAGCTTTAATTTGCATGATAATATCTTTCTTCTTCTGAATACAAATATTCTTTTTGTGCATGGTTTGTTCTCACTTTCTATTGATGTCTTCAAATCAAAACGATTTTGGCGTGCAGATTCTGTCTCTATACGTTTAACATAGTGATGTGCCTTTGTCTATATGACCTAGTACAACGCTCACAACGACATAGCAAGTTTTGTAGACAATAAATAAAAGACCAATCATGTCTAATCTCTCTGTACTTTATAACCTTTGGATAAAAATGACTACAGAAAGAGGATGCTAATCGGTTAACGCTAAGGTGTTAATACAATATATGTGTTCATATAGATCAAATTGCTTTTGCAGGACATTTTATGAAATTGTAGATAGGTGATACTTTTGTTTTTTTAGGATATCAAAACATATGAAATGTCCAGGTTACATTACAACAAGGAGATTTAAAAAAATCATACAACGGTGAATGATGCAATGCAGTATATATACATATACATTCATCATGTTTGAAAGATACGATATCATTCAAATTACGAACAAAGGAAAATTAATAGTATATAGCAGCTTGAACATTTTTTTTAAACTTGCAATTATTTAATTATAAAACATTGACCAGGTTAGCATTACAATGCATTACCAAACAGTTCCCATTACATTATAAACAATACTCCTATTAAAATGTCTTACTACCTTGTCTGCCATTACAATGCATTGCAAACGAGACTCTTTATTTTACTGTAGCCATATCCCATTACAAACATAACAAACACAACTGTCATTACAATAAACAACAGGACTATGCCGAATTTCCAATAAAGGAATAATTCGAACTCAGCATCGATAAAACTAGGGCAAAATATGAACAAAGATTAACGATGAGACCCTTGAAAAAACCCCAAGAAGAATAACACCAAGTGTTTCCGAAAGATAAGCGTCTTCTCCTTTATAATCACCGCGTTGTAAATCTAGGATAAATCCAAACAATGTCACGTATAGATAACTGGGGTAGTGACAACAAATCAATTAATGCATTATCAAAAGCGTCGCCTTTCATATCATACAAAGAAACAGCATAGCATATTTCCAAAACAAAAATCATGATGGCGACCGTAAAAACTTGTCCACAGTTTTTTTAAACCTGCATCTTTGGAAACCCTGAGTTAAAAGATTCTCTATAGGCAGTCGACATCTATCACAAAAGTTGTGATGTTCAGAGCAAGCTTTTGAATACCGCTTCAACTTTGACATGTACACACCATAGGTTGGGGACGCAGGGGTACAAATGTATTACTATCAAGAAAAGTAAAGTTCACAATCGGATATTTGAAATCTTCCCGCTTATCGTACAGCTTAGTTATAAGCCGTCCCAGTTTAAGTCGAACAGTCTGTAAGGTCCTTGGTTTTAAGTTTTGAATGTGAACTTGAAGGACTTGACTAGGTTTTTGTTACCAGTCCTGATAAGCTCATCAATAAATTCAGCCTCATGTGAACACAAATCAAGGCGGCAACAGGAGGAACACAAACTGTTCCCGTAGGATTGCGTACAACACATTATAAACCAACCTTTATAATACATCAGTTACCAGACTCCTGTTACAAAACATTTCTTACCAGGCTCATAATACATTACTTTACTAACCAGGCTTCGATTAAAACATTACATTACTAACAAGGCTTCTATTACAATATACATACACACATATATATAACCGAACTTCTATTTCAATACAGTACAAACCCGACCCCTATTACTATTCAATCTCCTATTTCAATGCATAGTTCAAGCTCAAGTTACCAACCAGGCTCATATTACGTAATATTTATAAGCAGGCTTCTATAACAATTAACAGTGCATTACCTACCAAGCTCCTTATTTAATACATTACTAAGCAGACCCCTATTACATTTCGTTACTAACCAGGCTTCTTCTACAATGTATCTATGTAACCGGACTTCTATTACAATACATTACTTACCAGATTCCTGTTAAAATACACTAATAGTCAGGTTCATATAACATTACACTACTAACCAAACACCTATTACAATTATTACTTACCTTGCTCCTATTACAATAAATTTCTTATCAAACTCCTTTATAATAGAATAAAACTAGGCTGCCATTTGCAGACCTCGTTTACCAGGCTCTAATTGTTAACATTTCTTAATACAGGTTGGTAAGTATGAGTAATAGAAAGGTTATGTATCACAACACTTACTGGCTGTGATACATGATCTTTCTACTACATGTCTAAGCAGTCTCCCCCTTTTTTGTTTAGAACTATAAAAAAGTTATCAAAATACACATACATTTAAAACAGTTTTTTTCTTAGGCTCGTGTTTTTAACTCAAACTGAAATATCATACTAAGAGTTTTTTTGGCAAATTATGTTGAAATGGCCAAAGGAATTATTACATAATTTTTGTTTTAAGAAAATGCAATAACGATTAGACAATGCTTTCAAAATATTTTCTGAATCAACTTTCCCCTAAACCTCGAAAATTCTGACCAACTGTAATAAACGTTTTATCCTGTTTGTGTTAACATAATGGGTAAAGATGTGTATTTATTAATATTTGAAATACATGGGATTGGGCTGCTTACCTGAATTTAATAAACAATTACGTCAGTGATGCTTATTTTATCTCATATAGAGCATGATTTGTAAGGTAAGGTAAGGTAAGAATGATAATATATTATACTGCACATGTTTCTTCAGTCACTCGAACGCATATTGTTTTGTATCCTACTAGCAAAGAAAACCACGACTGTGTATCATATTTATACAAAAACGCCGATCCAATACATTTATAATATTGAACGTAAGACACAAATTTTGTAATAAGTACAGTATGCCAAAAATGAATTACGCTGGACCATTCAGTTGTTTGGTCTTTCCCATGAATCATCGGTGATGCTAGGGGTCAAAAGGTAGAAATCTAGTTTGGTCTAAACTACTATTGGAACAGAAGGGTTTAAGGTAAGAGGAGTACTGGTTAATTTATTTATTAATAATTAGTAAAGTATGTATATTATACACCCGGTCACGACTCAATTAATAATGAGTAAAGTATGTATATTATACACCCAGTCACGACTCAATTAATAATGAGTAAAGTATGTATACTATACACCCGGTCACGACTCATTTAATAATGACTAAAGAATGTATATTATACACCCGGTCACGACTCAATTAATAATGAGTAAAGTATGTATATTATACACCCGGTCACGACTCAAAAGAGACAAATGTGACTATCAAGGTTACAGTAAACCTCGGGCACTAAGAAATCCAACAGCGGGGTGTATCACCGGGTATCTCGACAGATGAGCATAAAACAGTTGCATTCCAAATACATTAATACAATGTAAATGTTTGTTATATATATTTTCATCAATGTTTGACCTATTCTGGTATGACAAAGCCCATGCACGTACCTGTATTGGAACCGGTAATGATGTGTACCCGACTTGCAGGGATGGTTACCCGAGGAAACGTCAGCTGCCCTCCCATCTCTAGCCTAGTCTGTATTGTAATGTCAACTAGCGTGTACACAGTGCTTTCGTCTGCGGCGTGTGTTTATACCAGCTAATACCTACGTGATGTTCCCAAAGTATCGGATTGATGCTGATTGAACAGGGACCTTACTTAGCATTGAAATGTCAATGAAATAGGCTTGTCTGTAATTACAATTCAGGGGCCCTTCAGGGTAGATTTCTTGTTCTTGTTATATTGGTCATAATGAAAGTACTGTTATACAAGGCCTATACTTAGGTCGATAAAAAAATAGAAACATATTTCAAGGAATCTGAAAATAGAATTTCATATTCATCTAGAGGAAAACGTTATTTATGTAACGATATATATCCCTCTAGGGAAATTATCTGTTCCTACTAATATGTCTTTACTGACCTTATAATTCTGTAATCAATAATAATACACTATATATTTTCCCATCAGTGACAAGTCGTGATAAAGTGATCTAGAACAAGAAAGAGCTTTTGGCACATTACTAGTTACGGTTAGACATTTTATATACAACTTCGGAAGTATGTGGCTTGGAAGATTTCAATGATGTGGAAATTCCAAATATAGAAAATGTTTATAAAGTAATAATATAATCTGTCTACTAACCGCTTTTTATAGATAAGAGGTGTCCATAGACAGATTACAAATGTTAAGAAATGAGAAAACATTCGGACCAACAAGAGTGATTAATATCAGTTAGATATCTTGTTTCTAAACTGTTGTAAAATATATAAAGTTTTTATATTTACATTATATTTACGTTAGGAAAGAATAACGCTAGAGGAATAATAAGACTAGTACTTACATGTTAGAGCTACGATAAGATCATCTGAAAGAATGAATTACACTGCATCGTACAGGTGTTTGATCCTTCCTGGACTCATCAGTGTTGATAGGGGCAACAAAGATGGGAATCCACATTGTCTTATTTACTATTAAAACAGCAGGAGAGGTGCGAAAAACCTTTAAAGAATATTACATGTAATTTCAAAATTTTAAAAATGTGTACTCTATTTGTGCTTTTATATTTTCACATGAATTTCATACAGATATATTTATTTGAAAATACAACATATTTTACCTACTTCGATATCATGTTATGTTTTAGCTAATAGACGGATACAGCTACTCCTTCACCTGTTTATTTTGATCTGTATCGACAGAAAGGTATTCGAACATCCGGGATTTACGTACCATTATACATTTGCAATTCGTTTAGCCAAGTTGGGTAAATGCTTTATACTCCATGAAGAACATTTATTTGTTAATATTCCGCTTTCTTTTCAGAAATTTTGGATTCTCATAACAGTTTTGTTTACATTTCGATATCATTTTACTGTGTTTACCTCGCGTTCCGATACTACATAAATACCTTTACCACCTATGGTGAAATGGAAGACAGTAATCCTCTGATCCTCTTTGGTTTAGAAGGGAACCATGGTAACCATGATGATGCGTGTCTTTCTAACTTGCATTGGGAAAGCAACGTGACCTTTTCATGCCAAGAGAAGCTTGAAGATATCCTCTTAATCTGATTTTCCTGATAGTATTGCCTAACCTTTCCTGTTAAAGTGTGATGAGTAATAGCCACAGTACGATCCAATAAAGGTTCAGGGTGTGAACGAACGCATGCGTGTTTGATAGTATTACTTACATCTATATATAGATAGAGAGATGTTAGAACATTAATCATAGAATAAGAAATAACAATGTGATTATCATTCTTTGTATTGTAAAGTGTGTAAAGTTATGGTTAAATGGCTGTGCCTTTGACAAAGGAGCGGTTGTTAAAATCAACAAATTATATTATTCGCTGCTACTTCCCTGTTTATAAAGCATTTACAACTTTACTCGAGGTAAAACATATGGTGCCATATCAAGAGGTTTTTCTATCATCATACGCCATAGAATAATATTTGACAAAAAATGTTTTGTGGTATACAATGTTACATAGATTCTTTGCATTTAATTTAAACGTAAGGCTTTATGGTTCAGCTATAATAATTTCTTTGAGAATTGCCGAGGTCGACAAGTAAATTATGGAAATCATTATACTTTGTGTATCACGTGTTCATTTTGACTCGCAGAAAATGAAAGCTATCATACTTCAGTTACATTTTTGTTACCAAAAGAGTACTTGTTTTAAAAATGGCATCATGAAAAAAGTAGCATTTCGGTGATTTTCCTCTAGCATAAAAGTATTAAGTTCTAGTTACATAATTTCTATATACCAAATGAATATTTTTTTTATTAAGTTTATGCTAATTCTATGTTGGAACATCGATATTTACACAGTTAAGTCCAGATATTGATAATATTTTTATACTAAATCTCAATTTAGTCTGATCGGCTTGTTAAACTTTGTCATTATTAGGAGCTTGTACTTGTGCAAAATACTAAAGGTCACAGTTGACATCTGTCATAAATGAAAATACAGCACCCAGATATGATTCGTTATTAATACAATTATACAACAAACAAAAGTTAGTGACGAGGGGGAACCGAATACTTGTCTTGTCCAGAGAGGTTTCTGCACACTCATTTAGCGCCCCCCCCCCTTCCACCCATTACTTGTTTGTTTTACAGCAAATGCCATTACCTGTACCAACATAATGATGAAGGTGTTTGTACTTAATACATTGCAGGGTAAGAAACTCGTATATAAATACACATGCAGAAATCTTTGCCATCAAAATCTTACCAGAGTACTACACCAACAGAATGTAACATTCAAATAGACTAACAAATATCAATCAGTCTATGATATAGACGGAGGCGCTATTGACACCCAGTCTTGGTTCGGAGTCTTATTGAATACCTAGATATTATTCTAGAATGTCTGTTTCTAATATCATTTCGAGGTTTATAGATGTGTAACATAAACAATGACAAAATGATATATATCCTATGTCTTATAATCTTATTGCATTCCGTTATTGATTCTCGTTGACGATATTCAATAGATGATCGACCTCCATCTAAATTAAGCCTGTTTGCATGCAGACTGTTTTTGTCTAATCAAGTTATTCCGTCTTTGCGTATTGCAGAGTTTTCTTCTCTTGATAGCAGGTATTGATTGTTACGTCATTTGTTTGTGAGAGTAACGTCATCAATTTTTGACAAAACGACGTAATTTTCTCACACAAACCAATGACGTAACAATCAATACCTGCTCTCAAGAGATGATAACTCAGCAATACGCAAAGACGGAATAGGGGCGTCAGAGGTCTCTAGGCACATCTTCTCTGCTAAAAATATTTATGATTTTGTCCAAATAACATTCAAATACAAGACTATTTTAAAGAGACTGTACAGACATAACCTTCATGAGTTATTCGTATCCCAAGTTCGAATTAGAGGTGTGCTCCAAGTAACAGACTTGTGTTTCAATGTTTTGTATGCATCGGTCAAGGCGTTATTTCAAAATGAATAATGTAATTATATTACATTGTCTAAATCCGTGCTGTTTTTCAAGGCACATCGACATTTTATTAAAACTTAAGACATTCAATTCATCAGTATATGAAATATATACAACATTAATTGGATAATGATAATCTTGAACAGAGACAATTTACAAGAGAAATTTATCTGACAGAGTTATTCATTCGTTAGCTTCAAATATATATTTTCCTAATTTACATAACTCTTTACTATTATTGATAAAAGTTTTGTTTGGATATTATCTATATGAAATGTCACTTTTACTTTATAATAGCATACGGGTAATGATTGCAAATAAGTAGAAGACTATAGACAAGATCCTATAAAGAACTGCGTCCTCGCAGCATGGTTCGTTTTGGTGAAGGAAGCGAATACATGTGTTTCTATACGAGCTACTTCCCTGTATGGCATTTTGATATAAAAGCTTCCGCAAGTAGGTTGGTGCTTTGTAGTTCTTTGCAGTAGTACAACAAACTTAACATTTTGATTGTGGATACGTACCTACTGTAAGAAACAGAAAGTAGTTAAACATATATACGTTTAACGAATTGATGGGGGCAGGAAAACCTCGCTAGGCACTCTCATTATGGTGACAGAAATGCAACATGATTCATTCAAACACAGTTATCGCCAATCTAATATCTTAACAAGAGTTGTAACGTGTGAAAACCATTTAGGCATCAGACCTCTTTTCTAGAGTATACATGGACAACGGAAAACCTAGAATTGAATAAAGTATCCACGCAAAGCAGAACTTGTATAGCGAACAGCCGGGTGACACTAACCGGTATTCGCACCGGTTACTATGACATTTCTCTTCTTCGGCAAAGTTACCTTAGGGAAGGTATGATGTCCACCCATACTTGGCTGTTATCCTTTATAAACACAATGTGCGTACGACTTTCAATCTACATTGTGATAGTGACAAAAAATTCGTTGCTGCAAATTATGCTAGTGTGCATGAGTCACCTCCTCCCAGAGAGGGCATTCAGTAGCAGAGGTGATGGTAAGTTTCTACTGATAACAGTGGTATTTTATAGCTAAGTGATCTATATTAAACTTTGAAATGGTTATTCATACGCAATTCGATAATTTTGCTTATAAACTATCAGTATTTACTGGAATTGTTAAAGGTTCGTATTTCATTCTGCCAAGTTATTTCATAGAAATTCCACCAGGAAAAAAAGGTTTCTATTCCGCAACATTAAAGTAATGTGAAGCAATAAGACACTAGCCATGGACCTGATAGCAGAGTTTTAACAATTTAAGAACGAAAGCATTACTGGTTAACACGCAGCTTGTCAAGATACATCCGTGTTTGTATGTCAATATGACAGTTAGATATGTGTTAAGTCATCTGAACACTCAACTCAGTAATTTAAGAATTTAAAGAGCATACAGGTTTTTTCCCCGACGCATTCAGATTCTTATGTCTGATATCAACTTAATTCATAGCACACGTAACTAGATTATAAATTGTCATATTTCAATATCAAGTAGATTTTAAAATTTAAAGGAGTCAGTTGTCATACGATTTGATATTTCAGAGTTAAAAGACAAAAACAAAAAACATTCTAAGTTCAACATATTTCATAGAGCTTTTTACAAAGAAATCAGTTGATATTTCACATATTTTAAATAATGTGATTATTATGTTTCAATACACCTGTATGTTCATCCTAGATATCCAGGGGTTACGCTCACTTTCGCTCCCTACACCGCTGGAATATGTCATAGCAAAAATGTAGGCACGCGGCTAGCTATTTAATTGGCGTCAGGTAAAAACACCTGACCAATCACTAGTCTGATACTTGTCCTTTGAAGATTACTAAGGAGCGATGCCCGACTTCAAAGCCTGTCATTTTTGACCGTTACGCACTTCTCCCGTCATGTATTTATACAAATATACAACTTTAAAAAAGCACCGTTCAGAAATAGGAATTCAAGTGAATCCGGCCTTTGTTTCGTGGTGTATGTTATGTTAAAATGCTTATTACAGCAATGAAAGAAATAGCATTGCCACATCTAGACCTGATCGTTTGAGAACAATGTTTACCGGAAGTACGTATCCTCTATCACGTGACTTGCGTATCAAAATGCGGTCAAATACTAAAGGAAAATATAACTCGAAAATGACATATTGATCAGACAGCTTACCCGAAAAGTGTACACAATCCTTACACGTCTAGTCAAACATCATCTGGATGTGGTCTCAACTACCATGCCTACACTGTAAATATACATAGGTGATTATCAGCTACCAAGGGTCAAATGTAGATTGTAAGTCACACGTTCTTACACAGGTCTACAACCGGGTATGGGTGGCCACCAGTCCTTCCCTAGGGTTACCTTGTTAAAGGAGAGAGTTGTCATAGTAACTGGTGCCAATACAGGTAAGTGTCATCAATGTTTGGTATTCAAAACTTACATGCTATATACAGTTTTGGGGAAGCTGCATATACCTCATTAGTTCATGATTTACGCTGTCTCTGTAGACACTAAACATCAATGTTTTAAACGTTTACCAAATTGATTGATTTTAACATGAATTTCTTTTTCGACGTTTCCTATCAATATGGCGATATGTCTTTTATTGTACTAATGTTATGATACTGAAAGTAGTTAAAATCGAATAGATTTTAATAGAATTTATGCCTTACCTGTTGCATTGTGTAGCGTAAATTATTCTCTTTAACTCATAACAAACAACAGATGTCTCGCTTTGCTAATTATAGTTGACATTTCTGAGACTAGTTTTCACAACACCCAACGTACATACGTATAAGGTTCGAACTGTTTACAGTGTCAACATTGTATAATATTTTTACTCGTGACCTGTACACAATATCTCATGTCGGTAGCTCCGGGTCTTAAGGAGAGGCATTGTTATCGTCCGCGGTGCAAACATAGTAAGGACCTTACCCTTATCACACACACATATACTAGGTTTCGGAGATCAACGTGATATGCTGAAATATTTGTACGTGGATATCGTAACAGCATATACAATGCACAGGTGTAACACCAGTGTTTATATTTATAATTGCAAAATGATTTAACAATTATATACGGTAGTCTTGTGGTGACAGAACTCTAACTGAGCTACGAAATCTCCTATTCTTTGCGAGTAAAATATGATATTTTATGTGGTACGAAAACAAAATATCATAATGGTACAGTAATATAGAGTCTAATTTCAACAATATATCTGTTGGCCTATATAACTTTCATTTTAATAAGTGTTCATAAATTAAACGAAACAACCTATCAACCAATAGTTTTAACCTTAAATTGTGTTTTATATTTAGAGTAAACATATCTTTCTCGGACATATCTATATCTTGCTAAATATGTATGTATGTTAAACGAGTAAAGGGTAATGTTAAATCCTACATGTAATCACTTTAAAAGTCAGGATTATGCTCGGTGGCATGTTTATTCATAATAATGGATTGCTGACCACATGTCGCGATCCCATAATACCCTAGTAGAGGAAGGGAAGTAACTTACTGTTCACTATACTTCAATGTTGCGCTACACTATCTTTTAACATTTACTACACTACAGATATTGACCAATGTATCTTAACCCAGGCCTCCGACACCCTTATAATTGCTGAAATATATTCGGATAGCTTTTTTCCTTTAAAATTAAGATCTAAAACATAGCGATGATTGGCTCAGAGGAAAATGTGTCATTAACGATGGGCACACATGTAAATTGGTTATGCATTAAACAATAAAACCATGTTTGATAATAGTCCAGTTACCGTTCAATTGACCTTTCCAATGTTTACAAAGGTCACTTTGTTTGCTCGAACATCTGACAATATATTTTCGATGAGAGTTATCATTGTCAATTTAAATATCGGCAGTATGTTAAAGCGTCAAATAAGCATTACGGTAAAACGAGCTACATGTAGGCTTGTTGATTACAATGTAAATTCTACCTATACATTTCCAACTTTTCGGAAGACGAAATACTAGCTTTTCATGTTTATGTGTAGTTGATAAGATATGGACCTGTCTCGTTTGTATTGGATTCTGGAAAGTCAAGAAATTTTGACAATCCTTTCCCTAGGTGTTTTTCTATCATAACATTTGTTTTTTTCCCACTGTTTAAACTACCATACCTCATACCAGGCTAAATACACGCCTCAGTTATCATATTATAGGGGTTTCTTTAAAAAAAAGGGGAAACAGTAAACGCGATATAAATATAATGCTTTGATCTATTGCTGGACACATCCTGTGAAAAAACGGCAAATGCCGAGAGAAATATACCATGGATGAGATTTGTTAGAACGAAATAAATTCCAAATTATCTGGCGATAACATTGCTGGGTTTTGTAAAGACTATATCCCTCTGCTGGCCGGCTTGTTTTTGTTTTTATATGAGACTGAATTTATTGTATAACTTATTATCTGGACTAGTAACAAATAAAGGTAAATCCATCAATTTCCCTGTCAGATCTATAGCCAATATGCTGTCCTTGAATAGCAATGAATGTTTATATAGACCATGGCATGTTTTTGTACTTTTTCAAGGGTCTCCATGATAATTTATCGAACACTTACAATTCTACTGTTTGTATTTATTTTAACATATTAATATGTCTCCATTAATCATAAGTTATGACAATGCCAGGAACATTCTTGTATTGTTCTCCAACTCTTGTGATATGGAGATGTTTTGCTTACATCTCAAACACATTGCAAAAGTACTGTTATCATTTTTTTTATATCGTACTTCTGTCATGCACCATTATACAAGAGACGTTATATTTCGTTTTGTTTTGTTTTGCGTTGCTAGTTTCATTTGTTCTAGAATCTAACCTGAATTAGAGTCTTACTGTTGATGCAAAACATTTGTAATAGTAACAACCAAGTAATTATAAAACATGTAATTATTCACATCGTTTGCACATTAAGTTGGAATATAAAATAAACCCTATGTTTTCTTTAGTATTAACGTAATGAAATCATGTAAGATAATTGTGTTAACTGGAAAACAATTACATTATGTCAACAGGTATTGGATATGAAACAGCCAAATGGATAGCCATGATGGGAGCTACGGTCATATTGGCCTGTCGATCTGAAGAGAGGGCAAGAGAGGTCAGACACCATTGTATCTACACAAATACCATTAGTAGCAAAAAACGAAATCGATACGAAATATACAAAAGATCCTACAAGATAACTTAAATATGCATGGTTTAACAGAAATATTAACCGATGTTAAAAAATATAGATATTTCGTAGCTAAATATATGAATTGAATATACTTTCTGAGAACACTAACCACTCTTATTGGGAATTTATGTATTATTTACTTTTCACCTCAACTATTAATGCTTAATGTTATTCAAATGTCCATGCTCCTGTCTGAATTCGTTCAAACCGTACTGGACTTACAGCAGAAGATTTTTATAAGTCCTAGCGTTAGAATATAATGTGTTTATCTGTGTGTATCTGTGTATCTGTCATAAAGAGAATAAAACAGTAGTTATATCACTTAGATGTTACGACTATGCTTCAATTTCTATATAGGCAATGACCAGGATGAATGCGGAATTCGAGGCGGAGAAAGACAGAAAAACAGAAGGCGTGGTTGATTACCCAGAACTAAGTATAGAGTTTATGAAATTAGATTGTGCCAGTCTACAATCAGTGATGGATTTTATAAAAGAATTCAAAAATTCTGGTCGACAGTTACATGTGCTCGTGTGCAACGCGGGGATTGGCCTCCACAAACAGGGTAAACTTTGAACAAATCCTTTTACAAACAATAAGAAACTATAACAACTATAATAAAGGCTAAGTTTGGTTTGAACTGAAACAGGAACTAAAGGATAAGTGTCTATCAGGCCCTTTTTTGGGCCCCGGTATATTCTGATTTTGCCATCATTATTTTTTTACGTTTACCTTAGTTTTGCGCATGCAATACAATAGGACATCTTTGTAAAAAATGAAGGAGGGCAAAATCGGAATATACCTGGGTCAAGCGCTAACCTCATGCCTTATATCACCTGGCTAGATATCTCAATTTGTGTGTATACATGCGTGTGTGTTGGAGATATATTTTTTACAATTTTACAATAACCTTTTGTTACGTTTTTCTTTCACAGCATACACGGCGGAAGGATATGAACTAATGTTTCAGGTAAATAAGAGTGTGATAATATTAATTTTAAATAAAACTACAGAGACAGATTTTTTTTTATATTCATACGACCCAGGTATATTTGTTTTATAAGTGGCATTGCTGTACATAGAGCATAACATTGATGCTTTTTATGTCCTCATTATCCGTTTACATGTGTGTTTTGATTTAATATTAAATAATACATGTATATTTACTGCACGTTTTACATTTACAGGTGAATTATCTGAGTCAGTACCTATTAGCAGCTCACCTGTTGCCCATTATGAAGAATTCCGGAGAGGACTGTCGTATTGTGCTTGTGTCGAGTGAGGCTCATCGCTTCTCAGAGTTTAATTTAGACAGAATACAGGGAAAACAATTTAATGATCAAAACTTTGGACGAGTTCTATTCTACGGAAATTCGAAAGCATTTCAGGTATTTTGAAACAAGTGAAATGAGCAAAATACCTTATCAATTTAGTATTTAGAAAGAAATAGTAAAGAAAAACCAATTTATATACAAAGGCGATCCACCTGATGGCCATTGTCATGAGTTATTTCCATGGTGTTTAAGTGTGATAACGTTATTAGCGGACGCCGTTTTAATAATGATAAGCTGGATTATTTTATTTCAAAGAGTTACCCTTTTAACGTACTTCACTTAAATTGATACAATGTACTTGAAACCATAACATTGTTGAATAAATGTTAGTTTCATCCTGACAGTAACAAAACAAATGTCATTTTAGATGAATTGTTGATACTGAATTCGTTGTTTTCTCTCAAAGATAATGCAGATGTTCAGTATGAACAGGCGACTACAGAACTCAAATGTCACTGTGGTAAGCTTACATCCGGGTATTGTGGACACAGAAGTGACGAGAAATTTCAGTGATATGAAGCAATTTGCTGTCTTCTTGAGTCTTTCTAAATTGGTGGGTGAGTAGTTACTAATACCAGCGAATGTTTTAAGTTACAGCAGGAGGATACTTATTATTCAGTTGTTAACTTATAGTTGAGCTTTCCAATTACAATAATAAAACATTAATATCAACATCCAACAGTCATTATATACGAGGTTAAGGGGCCGATGTCGTCGAGTGGTTAAGGTGTCTGACCATCTACGATCACTATCCTTCAACACTGGGTCTCAGGCATGAGGCCTGTGTGGCCATGGTGCAGTTGCAAGGTACTGGCCACAGGTCCATGGGTTTTCTTCAGGAACTCAGGTTATCCTCCACTACTAAAACATGGCTCGTCCTTAAATGACCATAGCTGTTAAAAGGGAGTAAAACACTGACAAACAAAACAAAACAAAACCGACAGTCTTTCCAAAACAATCCGAGTATGAGCTTAAATCCTATCTATTGACTTGAAGCCTCAAGGTAATCTTCAAGTTAAAAGTGAACTGTATATCAAAACAGCAAACAACGTATTACGGAACAGTAGAAATGATTTGCTGCTATTCCGCTGTAATACTGCAATTTTGACTATGATACTGTAATAACATTTCGTTTGCCTTTTCTAATGAGTTTCTTGTTAATAACTGACATATTTTCAATCATTGGAAAAGATACATCATGGTATATATTATTATTTTGTGATTTTAATGTTTTCGTTTGTTTTGTGTTCCCCGATTCCAGTTGCTGCATTGTTGTATTAATATGTTCAAGATGTATATAAATTTGATTTTTAAATTTTGTTTGATAGGCAAAGCGAAAAATCCATTTGAAGGAGCAGAGACCAGTATAAATGCGGCAGTAAATCCAGAATTGAAAGGCGTCCGTGATGTATATTATTGTGACTGTAAACCAGAGAGCATCAGCAGTACAGTAAGGTTAGTTATGTTCAGTCACTCTAACTCACTAACCTTATTCGAGATAATGAATTTCGCGTTCCATAAGAGCAGAGCCCTGGTAAATTTGAACAGACACGGAATTAGTATTCAGACATTTTACTTAAAGGAAATATTTATTTTTCTTACGAGACATCAATTCTCGCGAGAAAGCCGCTCGAAGCGATATGAGAAATAAACAAATATCACATTTTTTTAATGATAAGCAAGTTAAAAAATATAACAACTTACAATTTACAAATTGCAATTTCATTGAATATGAAAAAAATATCCCTTTTATTGCATCATTAGTTTTTACCTCGCATACTTATATACATAGATTTGTTTTTATAATCAGGGAAGCAACAACAAAAGTAACGGTATATGTATTTGTCGATTTAGGTTATGCGCCCCTTTGTTACGACACAAACTTTAAACAAAATTACGAAACAAAGAATATATGTTTTTTACTTACTTCTTACTATGCGATGATTGGTTTTCATTGTTTTAATGTTTGTGTATATACAAAGAGGCGAGACACCTTATAGTTTACCTCTTGTAAAATTAGAAAGGTTCGCATCGTCATAGAAACAACGTCATAGATTCTGTTGTGCTAATGAAAACTGGTTTTCTTATTGTACAAATATAATATCGCCAAAGAGAACACAATGGCGACTATAAAGCTTGTTAATCGTCTCCTTGAACCTGCAACCTTCCGTTGTAAGTTTGTTAAACAGAAATCGACACCTACTCTGTATTGCAGAAATCTTTATATTTGGAGTACGGGCTGTAAATATTGTATTTTTTGTGACATGTATACACCATAGATTTGGAAAGAAAGGATGTAACTGAAATGTACATCAGATGTCAATTCTGTTTCATTCAAGTTGCTCTATTGTTTTAATAGTTTACCTTATTGACGAAAGACTATTGTTTTCTTTTTTTTCTTAAACAGGAATACTCAAAACCAAGAGGGATTATGGGAATACACTCAGGACTGTCTAAAGAAAGGAGCTTTTCTCCCTGACGATATTATCAAGTGTTTGGAGGGAGAATAAAACACAAAATATTGCAATTTAAAACAAAACAATTGTCAATATTACAAAGAAAATAAATAAATCTTTTTCAATCAGTTGCCATATATATTACGCGAGAAAATTCGTCATTGAATTTATAATGATAAACACTAAAATATCAAAGGTGAAATTCTGGACGTGATAGCGACTGTAAACTTCATCGTAGATCGACGCATTTGCGGTAGATATCCTTGGATACGAAGTGTATTCGTCAAAAGGACTCGTTTATGGAGAAACACCTGATACTTAGAACTGGCTCTGGAGTAGCATAGCCACTGTGATATGTAAACGCCTGATACCTAGCTCTATATTAGCGTAGCCACTGTGATATGTAAACGCATGTTACTTAGCTCTATAGAAGCGTGTCATCTGTGTCATGTAAACTCCTGATACCTAGAACATGCTAGATATGTCGTTTAAGAACTGAAATTAAGCAGACAGTGAATACCGCAACCAAGAATAAGTATATCATATTTGAAAAAAAATCTTATTTACATTCCTTGATTATGAGTCCCTAGCGTACAAAAATTAATGTAGACTTTGTGAGCAGAGTTTGTGAATTCCGTACCAAAATCCATAGTAGACTTTTGCTGTCTCATTTTATAATACTGGTTTCCGGTAATCCGTCACGCCAGTTGTGTTGTTATTTATTGCTCAACATATAATTGAATATCCCTCCTAGCGATTGTTAACAGATATATTTAATTTATTTGCATAATGTTTCTAAATCTATACTTATGTACGTAGTTCCTGATTATTATCCTATGACACATTAATTGTTTTTACATGCAAAGGATCAATAGAGTTATCTTCCTTGCTCACCAGGCAAGAGGGCAGCGGGACTAAAAATTTAGTTTGGACTGCAGCCAGAAAATTGACGTAAACGTGTTGACATTATACATAACTATTAATGTGGTTTGCTAGAAATCGATTCACTGCTACATTCCATTTGCTCTAGATAGGATTTTACAGAGAGGAAATAATAATGTAGTAGCATTATCTTAAGTCTGAGTGTTGATGCACGTACATATCCGTACCGCTTAGATTTATAGGAATATTCAGGCCTGCATGTAATAGTTATGCAATAGAGAAGGCATACTGTGTTTATTTGTTATGTTCTCTGTTCGTCTTTAACGTTGGAGTAAGCTACTGGATGTCTATAAAAGTGTCAATAAAGAATGAATGCATTGCGTTACTCAGATAATTGTAAGTTTGAAAAATATTATACTAGCTCGGTTTAAAAGAGGGAGATAACAAATAAGTGAGCCGAGAATTAACATTTAGTAAGAGAACATCTTCCTTTATGAAAAATAATGACAGCATTATCATATGAAATATACAGAACATTAAATTGTAAAAGGATTGCAGCAAGGTATTTTTTTCCGTTAATTTACTGTCATCAAACGAAGTCATTGGAACTATTAGCTCCAGGCTATTATTAATTATCCAATGTATTAATTGAAAGAGACTGCATTGGGTAAAAAAAAAAATAGAAGAAGGCGTAATAATCGTTATCGTCCAGGAAAGAATGATTTGATCAGTTACATTTAAAAAAGGGAGATAACTCTTAAATAAATGAGAACATTTTCCTGTTTGTCTATCTAGAGATATATATGTGTGATCTCCGATAAGTTGTTCATAACATGATAAGCTTAATGACCATTTAACGTAACATTTCAAACTTGTATCTTTCCACAATAGTTGAAAAAACTCAAGTTGTGTGTTGAAGGATATAAAAGGTTTATCTCAACATAAAACAGAAATTTTTTGTTAATTTATAGATTACACATTATTAAAATTTGCGTTAACGACCCGTTAAAATTTGGCCCTGATGTGTGTGTATCCTTTAGATAAAAGTAGCTTCTGTGCAACCATCCTACTCTCGATATTAAAATCTTTACATACTATTATGTTCTTTAATATTCTTGTTTGTTCCCATTCCATCAGAAAAAAAATACCATCTTTGGAATGTTTTGTTTCCGTATCCGCCCTAGCGTTAGAGATACCCCCAAGGCAAAGCATCAGTTCGCATGAATATATTACACATATATGTATCTGATAACAGTGCAGGTTATTGAGAATAAATTACATAAAACTAACTTCTGATGTAATATTTTTATTATATTTTCCTTTCTGTAATTTATTGTTATCAGTCGGAGTCAATAGAACTATTAGCTCCGAACTATTATTAGATATCCACCGTGTTGATTAAAACAGACTGTCAAGCGCCAAGTTGACAAATACTGAAAAGATGTTATAATCAATATCACCAACGAATTAATTATATTTTATTCCTTGTACATTGTAGACGCCCAATATTTTAACTTAGGTTCATAAAATTGACTTGCAATCCAAACATAGACATCTTTATAGTGTGTTTACAACAACGTAATGCGGTTCAAAGTCAATAGATATGTCTATACATTTACATGTGTATGTTTCATAAATTCCTCATTTAAAAGAAAAAGAAAAAAAACACTTTACTCATTTATTCCATATAATATCATTAGGTACATTTTCATGAAACATATGTTACATGCATATGCTTGATTAACATAAGGTTTAGATTTACACTGTACATACACTATCTAATCATCTATTTAATGTTTAAGTAATCATTACACAATATACCTGTGTATTTTATTTCATCCTTGATGAATTGGTTTCCCGCTGTCATATTTAACGGAAAGCAGTTTATTCCAGTGGTTTGTTACATATGCATCATATATACTGCAGCCCGTAGATTAAAAAAGGTGTGTTTTGTCAGACATTCATACCTTCTTATTTGTTTTACTGCGAGTATGAAACAAACATAGAAATGTATATAAACTGTCAATGCAACTATAACAGGTACATAACAATATTAAATAATTTGTATTACTGTAAAAGAAGGCAATCTGGCATCGGTTGCTCAAAGAGTTGACCTGTGATCTGAGAGAATTTCAAAATTTGAATACACCAAATCAAGAACATCCGACATCATTTCACTGCTATAAATTTGTTTCAACAGATCCGATGGATGTGTTTTGTGGTTACAGTTTGCTTTGAAACCCCCGGTTTTCTAAAGGAAACAATTTAACTTTTCACTTACCACTGGTTTAAATTTAACCAACCTTTGAGCAACTGGCGCATGGCAGCCTTCATTTATACACCAAACATAGACACATTTAAAACCTAAAGGATTTCTTCGTTGTTTATTAATTGAATAATTATATTAACTTAAGACAATCGGGAAGAATATTTACCTCCTGTTCAAAAGAAATACTGTTCATACTGAATGTAACCTATGGTCTATCTAACAAAGTTCGGAAAATCACAGCCTTTCTGATTGGGACAACAATAGTAATATTGTTAAACAACATATGTTTACAATGCAAACTATATAAAGTATTATGCTAAGGACTGTTGAATGATAAAAAGCGTATTATGCTTTACAATGTGTATGCTATGCAATGTATCATTACAAATATTCTACAACTTCCAATAAGTTTCAATATTAAATATACACACAATATGTTATGTTTATTTTTAGTCGTGTGTTGTTGAATTTAAAGCATTACAACAGGGATACGTGCGTTTTTTCCTGGGAAGAGTACATGTCATTTGCTTTCACGAAGAGGATATACGTGTCTATTACACGATTACATTTTTCATTAACTTCTGTTTTGACATCTCTATGACTGAATGAAATATATATTCATAAATATTTTGATCGCGAAAAAAAAATCATTATTGAAGTTTCAGTAGGACGGTGGGTTCTTAATATTTTAAGTAATGTTTATAATTGGACGGATTCACGCTATTAGCACTATAACATACTTATTTTTATTTAAAATCTCACATATAGAATGACAGTGTTATTTGTCTAAAATGACAGTAAAATGGGATCGTTTTTTTATTTATTTTTTATTTTTTATAAAAATACATAAATATTTGAAACACATATAATAAAATGAAATACGATGAAATTGGACGGATTTCACATAAGTAGCACTATCTAATCTTATTATCATGGTTGATGAGAGAAGCACTAGAAATGTGTGGCGTAAAATGTGTACATATTTTGTCATGTAAAATCCATACCCTCTAAACACTTCTCTTTTCTTTTCTTTTTGTTGGTACTGGTCCAGGTTTCTTTTCTCTCTCTCTTAATAAAAAGAGCATTCTAGGTATCCAAGTTAAATGACAAACTGTCTCGTGATCAAAACGACGACTTCCGGATCAACAGTTACAGGAATAGTGTAACAATCGGATTGGTTTTAGCATACCTTACGGCTGTATGATATGTCGTTGGTTGTTATACCGTTAGGTTAGCATTAGTAAGCACGTACATGATGTATGGTAAAAAGAAGACACTCAATTATTGATATAAACACCGGACGATAGTAAAAGGTTTTAATTATTAATTAGATGCATCGGAGTTATCAGGATGTTTACGTCGGTAGTATAATAAAGAATAATAAAAGGAAAGGTGAAATAGCAGTGAGCTCGATATCAAACAGGAGGTTGCTGATTACAGACCCGAACCAGAATCACAAGGCATCCAGGTCATATTGATAAACTGACATGACATGACATATGTTCAATTCATACCTCTATTAAGTCAATCAAGAGATACTATCAGCATATATGCAGCAGGTGAGAAAAAACAATGACAAAAAGGTACAGTCTTTCATGTTCGAATCATATGACAAAATAGACAAACGACATATACTATCTGTAGGAAACTGACTTCGTATTGCTTGGGTATTGACGTAAAAGATCCCATGATAAAGAGACAAAGCATATTTTTTAAAATGGCTTATGTGTCGTGATGAGTTCATAAACTATTCCAGCACTCATTGACTTGTCGACGATTTTGTGTTCGTCTTTTTCACAGTACGGAGTGATTCTCGAATGAAATCTTCAGGTAGGTATTCTTTCAGGTTTTCTATAGTGCACTGTAGAAGATAATCCTGCAATTCTCTGTCTCTGAAAATGACCAAAATATCGAATAGAGTTTGATGAAGGAGGAAATGGTAACTCGGAGGACACAAAGTAACTTGAGGTTGTTAATGAAGCACATAATGATTTTAACATAATACATAGTCCTGGTACAGCGTAATTGCACATATATAGTAAAGCCTATAGAACGGTATCGATTTCGTTAAACCCGTTGAGAATTAAAATGCATGTTACATATGTTTCTCTCACATCCTTTCGTAATTGTACGGCAATATTTGTGTCCATTCGCGCTGAAAGTAACTGTATCTATACTGTATCTATTCCGGACGTTAATAATCATAATAATATCTTATATGATGATGATGATGTCTGATGATGATGATGATGATCTTTGTTTAATATGTATGAACAATCATGTACTTAGGAACAATGTCATATATGTTTTTGTCTTGTCTTGTAAAAAAATAAAAAAATAAAATAAAAAAAAAAATAATCATAATTCTTTTTTGGAAAAGTGTTGTCCTTCAATTCACGTGTAAACAGCGGTATATTGTTGTAAGAATGCAAAATAAATGTCATACAGATATATTCTACAAAATGAATGTGTACGTAAATGACAATACTCTGACAGCTGTATGAATAAATCTTTTACAAATGAAAATTATATCTGTTCTCTGTTGTGTTCTGTTCAGACAAATGTCACTGCTTTTGTAATATCTTTGTTAACATACGTACCTGGCGGTCCGACTAGGAAACGCGGGGGCGTCCCGGGAGTGAGTGAAGTAGGCTCGACTAAGGCCCTTCAGTCCAGGACTGACAGCAGCGTATAACGTCGTGGCGGAACCCTTTCGAGGGGTCTTGACCATACCTACAAAACATTATTTCAACAATTTTGGCAATCAGCGCTGAAGGAAACCGTAAAACATTGTAACAAAGAAAATAAACCTGATATAGATGTAAGTGAAACCTGTCTTTTTATAATATTATGTTCCTCATACTCAGAGTGTTGCCAATCGAGAATGTAAATCAGCAGCAATTTCTCTTTCGCCTCCGATGGTGTTACGGATAAAATGCAGAAAGAAAATGTGAGATGACGTCAAGGCATACATTTATGACGTCACAATCAGCTTTATAGATTACACATTCTGATAACTAATGTTTTCAAATAAATAATTGATAGCAGGGGAGAAAAGAATCATGTCTTTAGGTAAGGGTATGCTTCTAGATTCCTTAATGTCTTACCAACGGCTTGAAGCAAGCCTCGGATTAGACAATTAAGAATATCATCCCTAGGGTTAGGGGGTGGTTCTTCCTGAAACTGAAGTCCTTTTACTGACATTTAAGATTAGCAGTTTATATGAAATGATCCACTACACTAAAGCCTGTCTTTAATGTCACTACTATGGACTGGATCATTTGGCCGGAATTAAACTAGAATGTTGGTAAAATAAAAATCATTTGGCAACAAGTTCTTATATTTTATTACATGTTTTCAAAGTCAGTTATCATTGTACAATACAAAACTAAATGTTGCCGTTAAAGAATCAGCAGTTGTATCTTCCCTAATGTCATGTTTTTCTTGATATTAAATTATTTTGAAATCACTTGTTAACTGTAACAGTGTTACAACTTACATAAACATTTCAAACAACATCGATAACAGTTGAACTTTGATCCAAAGTGTCGATTTCGCCGGTAAAGGTCCTTGGCCACATATCCCGGATGTACAGAATATAATTCGACGTGTGTCTTCTCCAGCATCCGGTCTATGCTATACATTTGCATTATCTGTTAGAAATATATTCATAACGTATATAATGTATCAATGTGCCACTTTTACCAAAACAATGGAAAAGATATAATGATTTTGTTTTTGTAAACGTACATAATGTGGTTGCATAATGAATTCACTAAGCCACAAAGCAGATTTTAAAGCTGGTACTTGACAAGTCATTGTTGATATATCTCATAAATTATAAAACTTTGAGGGTCTCGAATGAATTCCCTTTACCTAAGATCTTTTTAACTCAATATTCCATCATATTCAGGACAGTTGGATGGAATGGGCACTATTATAAAATGTACCTAGGTATGAGCGCATGTATTAAAAAACCCGCCTATATATCGTCCATATCATGAAAAAATGGGAGAGAAAACAGGAAAAAGTAGGATTTGAAGTTATCATTGATATCAATTGAAATGTTCGTTGTCATAGCGATGACATAAACTGTTGCAAAGACATACATTTATAAAAACGTCAATTGTTAGGTTATTTCAGTCAATATCTTCGACATAGAACAGTAAAATTGTTCTACATAATTTGAAATTTTCGTTTTAAAATACTCTACATATATTCGCAATAATCCGTTTCTATGTAAAGTTACCTGATACAACTTCGTGTTACTGTAGCATTGTAGTGGATCGTGGTTTTTCATTCGCTGTCCTGCCGCATAGTTAGCATCATAATGACAATGCTTGTGTGCTGCACTCGACACCAGAACTATTCTGACGTCATTTCCGGAAGTTTTCATGATCGGGAGCAAATTTGCCATGATCAGGAACTGACTAAGGTAATTAACCTGAAATTAGATTTTTTTATATCAAACAAGAGGAATAACAAACCAGCACAAACAGTTTTTAAGTTTTGTATGAACGATATGTAACATATGCTAATTTAAAACTCAAGTTCAGTTATAAAAATTACTCATTTTTGTAACATAATTTGCATGATCATACAATCGGGTCATTTGATCAGTCGCTATCGTATAATCCTGAGGCGAAAACAGGAAACTGTCTTTGATCAAGTCACGTTATATAAAATAGAAACCTTTCATCTTTTTGTCATATGAGGAATTGATTTAAACACACAAGTTGTCTCTCTAAAAACAAAAAAGATATGGTAATTATGTATTTATTTGTGGAAAGGTTGGCGTGCATCATTATACAAATATATTTTTTTATGAAAATCTCTTTACGTAGTATCTATTTTATATATTTAATTTCTATGAACCAAACAGATTGGATTACTTTACATTACTGTTATAGGAATGTTGTATAGTAAACCGATTTTGTGTCGTTTAAAGCGAAACCATGACTCCGTCAAGAGGGATACAATAGCACGCCTGCAACTAACATTCATCAATATTGCATCACTCTATTCTCCATTTACAATCAGTACTTGTATTTTGTTCAGCATCTAAATTGCATGTACATGATGTGCATAAATATACAACAAATCTGTCAAAATGCAACAACTGTGTACATTTTCTTTTTCATTTCTTACCATTGGTATATTATATTTTGGAAGCTTAAATGAGCTTCTGTTTCTTGCCTTTTTCAGTTTTTCCAATCACACGTTTCTAAAGATCGGAGTTCGCAAAATGCTATAAATCTTGACGATGTTTTTCTGACTAGTATATGTCCACGACATATTCTTATCCGTAATCAACTCTCAAATAAAGCAAAGAGTATTTATCCCTATATATGTAAATATACGAAAGTTCCCAAACGGATGGTTGCTGATTATCATTACACCTAACTCGAGTTCGTTTTTTTTTATTGTATAAAGATACAAGGTTTACATTGGGTTTTTCCAATGTGTATAAGATACTGTACGTGGAATTGGAATTTCAATCACGAATTGGCGTTGGATTGGGGTTGGTGGATGAGAGTAATGTTTGGATGGTGCGTGTGTGGTTGGATAGGGGCAGCATTCCCCCTTCTATGTTGTTCATATTATTTCTGGAAACCCTTAGGTTTTTTCCTGAAATTACATTATTCCTGATTCTGATCTGAGAAATGAATAGTCATGAACCATGTCAAGGTTTTCTTTAATCCAAATATCAGTATGAGAGAAATGTCTTTGGCAGTTACCACACTTACCTGATATGTGAGCTCGTAATTATCTTCTGTCACAACTAAATAAACAAAACAAATTGAAATAAAGAGTGTCAATCATAAAAGTCTTATATAGAAAGTGACATTGACAACACTTGTTCATTTCTACTTAAAATGTCGATATCACAAAAACATAAAAAAGAAGAATGATGTAAATTTAAGGCAAGTATAAAGTATAAAGTATATTCAGTGATATAAAAGACCAAGTACTGTGGTATATAAAGTATAGGCTTACAATGAATACGACTTTATGTATTTCAATTGTGTTAAAAGCACACTAGCTATCAATATACATTTCCTCTTATTGGAATCTGAAAGTTTCTCGTCAGACTAAAGCATGTCATCCTCGACGTTTTTATGTAAGCAGTCTGTGTCAATACAATATGAAAAATATGTAATATTTATAATACAGCTATGCCACTCCATTGAAACTGCAGGTGTCACACGACGCAGGTTAATTATTAAGTACCCTCAATTGAAAAATGCCAGGATATGTAGTGCTACTTGGCGTTTATAGGTTTATAGTCATTCATTGTAATACATTATAGGCCTAGTAACTGTACTAAGGTACTGTATTTGTCTAGCGCCCAACAAATCCATATTTCAAAACGAGCGACACATGTTCAATTCCATTTACAATGTATTAGTAGTATATAAAGATAGGGCACATGGATGACCAATTTCAATATCATTATTGACATGGCTATAGGCCTTATTTTCTAAATGTTTTGCATTTGCATCAATCCTGCAGGAATTTTCTTATAACGTTTCCACGATAGTTACCACCGTTCCTTTGACAATAAAATAGTTTTGTATTGTAAGACCTTGCACATCATTGATATGCTTCAGCTTCATATGATCTTGGTAATGCATATCTCTGACACCTCACGCCTTTTGCTTATGTAAAGCAAATGTTTGAATATTAACTACCCCTTAAGGCGTGTATAATGTCATGACATGAATTATGTCATATATGCCTATTTAGTGCAGTACTGCTCTGAATACTATCAACAATTACTGCGTTTTTCTAATATTTCAATTAAAAACGTAACAAAGGTGCAAGTAAGAAAATCAAATATTTTCAGAACACATTAGCAAAACCATCAATCAACTAAATTGTTTGCGCATAAACGGTTTAAAACTAAAGGAAAACAAAGTCAACGTACAAAGATAAAAGGAGTTTAAGAAAATTACAGAAATAGGAGCGGAGAGATTAAAAAAGGCAAGACAGTCTGAACCCGAAACTGGCTTGCACTACATATCTGTAGAACTTTGGAAGTGGGGTTGTACCCTTCACTATTTAAAGAGGTTGACAGCTGCTATCCTTTGAAGTTCTTATAAATATTGCAAAGGATAACTGATAACCCCCTTTTAATAGAATTCAAAAGTATAGGCTCTTCGCAACAATGTCATTTTAAGGTGGTTTACTACCTTACGCTATTACCTTGTAATTAAGCTTTGGAACAGTTTTCTGTATTGGCATTCTAAAGACAATGCTTTATTAAATAATGATGCATTTCCCAAATTGTATCAAGTCTTGTAATATATTAAAGAGTTGAAAGATGTTTTCAGTTAAAATGTCTTATCTAAATAACCATTTGTCAAAGGTGTTTCATAAGAACTCTTTTGGAATGGAGTATACTGTCACATAAGGTGATATATACACTTAATATCAAAACTTACTCTCGTCAGCCATCATGACTCCAGCGTTACAGATGAGAACGTGCAGTTTTCGTTCAGATGCCTTGAACTCCTCCACAAAATCCATAGTTGACTTAAGACTGGCCAGGTCCAGCTTACCAAACTCTAAGCTTAGTCGGTCATCGCTTATTATGTTCTGTGTTGAATTCTCTTTCTCCTGTTGGAATTCTTCGTTCATTTGTTCTATAGCCTGCATAAAAGAGCATTGTACAAAAATACATAAGGTATATTATCATACATGTATTTTATTTGGGTTGAGTGATACTACGGACAAAAAACGTTCATTACATGTAAATGTAGTACCCAAGTTCAATTATGAAAAAAAGTCATCGAAACTGATACCTTATCTACATAAAATGTAGAATAAGTCAGAACATTTAATGAATTTTGCGACGGTATAACTGTATATGCTATTGTCCGGTATTTTAAAATTCTGAAGCTACCCGTATACCTTTCATTATGTGAATAAAGCATTGCATAATACCGGGAGCACGAGAAGAATGCTTTCCAGCAGGCTTTACGTATGTAGTTTGATAGCAAATTCATAAGTCAAAGTTTTTAATTTTAACATAGAGTGTACTTTCAAAATACAGCTAAATACATACTTGAATCGGATATAGATGTTTGTTATCATTGAGAAAGAGCATGTTATTGGCGTTCACGTATTTACAAAGCATACAAGCAAATCAGCATTAACTCTTAACAGTGTGTATCATGTTTCTAAGTTAAAACTATTAAGTAAATAGTAAAACTATACAAATGTTAACGTGACCTTTATTAATTTATTTGAAAATTGTTTAACGTAATTGCAATAAACAGAAACCGCATGAAGATGAGACATTATGATGGCTAACAGACGAATTGTGTTCCCTTAGATGTCTCGTCAGATGTAGATGTAATAGAAACTTTATACACACTTCTCCGATGAAACTTTTACGATATAAAGTGACGTTAAGTGTTCTATTGTTGAATACCTTACTATATATATATTGTATAAATACACGTCTGCAGAACTCTCACATTAGTTGCTTCTTACGATCAGTCATTGGTGTATCAAATGATACGTTTACAGACCTTAGCACACGTGTGTATCACTTTGTTGTATAAATGCAAATGCATATAACACATGATTAAAATGACACAACGTATTTTAACCTTAGTACCTATGTAAGATGTACAGATTCTGTATATTCTTCAATTAAAATGTTTAAAATCTAATCAGGTAACTGTATACTTATATTTAGATATACATATGCTGATGACGTTATTTATATTACCGTGTATTATTGATGATGGTAAATCATAAGCAGCAGTTTGTTCGATTATGATAATTACAATATGAACATAACAATATGCCGATAACAGTGCTTGCTCATGTAATATTTAGATGGGTCGGATATGTTGATTTTATTATGTAGGTAACATTATGGAGATTGCTTATTACATGTACATGTGATAACTGCCCAATTACCTTTTTTTTGATTGGATAGATATCAAAAGAATCCGTCATTCCCTTGTAGATGAGATAATGGGATATCACAAAAGGGGGCAGATTCGTAAATTTCCAAACAAGGGACTTACCAAGTGTCTGGGAACTTAAGATTCCCCCCCAGGGGGTTTGGATTCCCCAACATTTACTCAATGGGGTGAATGATTCTTTTTCTCTTACCCTGTTGACCCTGGCCTTCGTAGAAAGGGATGTAAAAGTTATTGACTCAATGCGTTGTTTGCAAGAGGTGGATGCAATGTTGACATAGCGTCTTACCGTTGTTATGCTTGAGGAATGTCTTGCTTGCAATAGGGATATTTCACACCGGGAAAAGTGTGGATACACTTGTCCAGGGTAAGGGAAAGCATTACAAATGTTTATATTTATATTACAGAATGTCACCTGAAAATAACTACTGTGTATATTAAAATCAGGACTTGAATTCATCGAGGTTTCTTTGTTTATTTCTAAAGTAACGTAAATGTAAAATTCGTGACATTTATCAATCAGAATAAAAAAAACTATATCGTTTGATTCCAAATTATCTCCAGGTAAAGAACACACACCGAGAAAGTGTTCTTTTGTTTCAACAAATAGATTTTGACCTTTTTTATAGCGTGTCAATAACATAACGGATATTGATACTGATCCAGTGATAAAAGATGTATACATTATTGTTATTTTGTTTGTTTCAAAAAATAAGTTATGCTTTTTCTCCATACTGTGTCAATTATATAATGGGTACTGATACTTATTAAGTGAATTAAATTAACGGTGTTTCGGCTTCGGTTCCCGTGCTAAACAAATCATCTCGTCAGAACACCAGCAACAGATGCCTGGTTACGTTTTTACACACTTCGGTTTCATTTTGATTTTTGATAAATTGTTCTTTTGTTTTTTGAAATTTAGTTTCAAGATGCTTTTATCAAACAAGAAACTACAAAACACACATTCGAGATAAACCTACAGTTCATAATAAGATAGTATATGAAATTTGAATCGGCATTTAAATTTAATCATGCTTGATTTATTTTACAACAAAATTGCAAAACAAGGACTATCAACTTTTATTTATCACTCCAGTTGGCGAAAATGGTAGCACACATGAGGTCTTTATTTGGGAGAAAACCAGAGTTCCCGGAAAAAAACCTACGTGGTTGGGCAGTTGGCCCATACCTTTTCAGGTCCGATCAAAGAATCGGACCGTGGCAGTCATCGTGAAAGGCGAGTTCGCTACCCACTGCGCCACGATTTGGCATTAAATACAAGGATCCTTAGTCATTACTTGGAATAGTCCATATAATACCAGTATCCCTATTTTTTACTTGAATTAACATACCAGGATCTTGAATTAATACTCGGAATATTAGGACTGACTTGTTGGTATTTGTTTAGAATATCCGGTTTTTATATCTTAAACTTTAATCCTTATGATACAATGTACGTAAATCATTCTTGTAGATAACCATGTGAATGCGATTTGTAGTTGGTGACAATATCAGTATTTCTATCTTTAGTTTACAGATTAATGTGTAACAGATACGGTGTTGTATCATTCAAAAACTGACAATGCAGATAACAAAACATACTTATATAATATTTAGATTGGTCACATATGTTGATTTCATTGTGTAGGTAACAATATGGAGATTGCTTAAAATACATGAAAACATAACATTTGTTTTGTTTAATTGAATGAAATAAACGTTTATCCTCTTTGAAATGAGATAAGGGGGTCTTAATCAAAGGGGACAGATTGTTAAATTTCTAGGTATCCGTGTAGAATATCCGGGTTCTGTATCTTAAAATCTAATCCTGACAAAACGTAAAGCATTCATGCAGATCGTCATGTGTGGGCAATGTGCAGTTGGTGACAATATCATTATTCCTATGCTAAGTATACAAAGTAGGATGTCACTAATATGCTCTTGCCACATACAATGACTAATCTTTTGTTTTCAATGCATTACATGTAGACTGTCTAGCATGTTCTTCACAATCATTGGTGCATTTATGACAGGTGTTTATTAAGTTAAGTTCATGTGTTGTGTGATAGCCAGGGGATACGGAATGAAAGGGACAAAAACCGGACGAATATGAAAGCTTACTCTTTCAGCCTTTTCCTTTGAACGACATGCAATGATGACGGTTGGTCCCATCATGGCTATAAACTTGGCAGTCTCATAGCCGATACCTGTCAAAGGGAAAAACTAGGTTAAGCTTTGTGAAGATAACTGTGGTATACAGCTAGACATGTGTTTAGCATTATCAACCGTTGCATAATATCATGAATGTTCAGGAATATTCGTGTACTGAAACAGCAGTTGGCGTTCATAATGGCAGGCAAGATTGCCATTTGAAAAAAGTTTCTGCTTTGCCATTAAACAATTGCTGAAGAAATTACAAAGCATGATAAACAGAATATTTTTTTACCGTTTATATCCTATAAATAGTCAAACAAAGTTGCTACATATTTTATTATGATAAAAATAACGTTATTTTCACTGTCACTGTCTTCTGTTCTTATTCTCTGTCACCCTCCGTTTGTCTCCGCCGATTTGGTGTGCAATAAATATTTTATCTATATCGTCCATGCAGACTAATTAATGATAAAAGTGATGTTCTACACTTTATTCGATCCCCAACATATAACACAAAACGTTATGCCGACAGTACGCTTGATATTGGTTTTGACATTAAACATTGATAAACATAACAAGGCATTTTAGGTTTTATCTAAATATGGATCACTCGTCATTATATATCGACGCAATCAATTTAAATCTAAACACTGAAAAAACAATGTAGCAAATGCATGTTTAATGAATTTTATTTTAGGAAATTGATATTGTCATTTAGTTTCCGACACAACGTTGGGTCTCACGTACAACTATTGATATTGATCGGTACAGTAGACCAGAAATTCAGGAAATGCTGTAATAGCAAAACGAGCATTCCCTTTAAAATTCTGTGAAAGCTTGTGCAGTTATCATCATTGCAAATGGGATACTTTTGCTTAATGCAAAAAGCAGATTGAAATGCTAACGTACTTTTTCTTTCTTCCTTCCTTTTAAAGAGAAGGATATTACCAATAGAAGTAAAGTAGAAAATAAACAGAAGCATCAACACACACAGATAACATAAACCACAGTGTCAATAAACAATAATAAAACAAACCAAGTAGGAAAAAACTAAACAACAACATTGTATCAACACACAAGGACAATATATACACATTGTACACAGCGTCAACTCAGATGTGTAAACATACAACAGCGTCAACTCAGAAGTGTAAACATACAACCGCGTCAACTCAGAAAGTGTAAACATACAACAGCGTCAAATCAGAAGTGTAAGCATACAACAGTGTCAACTCAGAAGTGTAAACATACAACAGAGTCAACTCAGAAGTGTAGACATACAACAGCGTCAACTCAGAAAGTGTTAACATACAACAGCGTCAACTCAGAAGTAAAAACATACAACAGCGTCAACTCAGAAGGGTATACAAACAACAGCGTCAACTAAGAAGTGTAACCATACAACAGCGTCAACTCAGAAGTAAAAACATACAACAGCGTCAACTCAGAAGTGTAAACATACAACAGCGTCAACTCAGAAGTGTATACACACAACAGCGTCAACTAAGAAGTGTAAACATACAACAGCGTCAACTCAGAAGTGTAAACATACAACAGCGTCAACTCAGACGTGTAAACATACAACAGCGTCAACTCAGAAGTGTTAACATACAATAGCGTCATACTCAGAAGTGTAAACATACAACAGCGTCAACTCAGAAATGTTAACATACAACAGCGTCAACTCAGACGTGTAAACATACAACAGCGTCAACTCAGAAGTTTAAACATACAACAGCGTCAACTCAGAAATGTAAACATACAACAGCGTCAACTCAGAAGTGTATACACACAACAGCGTCAACTAAGAAGTGTAAACATACAACAGCGTCAACTCAGACGTGTAAACATACAAAAGCGTCAACTCAGAAGTGTAAACATACAACAGAGTCAACTCAGAAGTGTAAACATACAACAGCGTCAACCCAGAAAGTGTTAACATACAACAGCGTCAACTCAGAAATGTTAACATACAACAGCGTCAACTCAGAAGTGTAAACACACAACAGCGTCAACTCAGAAGTGTAAACACACAACAGCGTCAACTCAGAAGTGTTAACATACAGCAGCGTCAACTCAGAAGTGTAAACATACAACAGCGTCAACCCAGAAAGTGTTAACATACAACAGCGTCAACTCAGAAATGTTAACATACAGCAGCGTCAACTCAGACGTGTAAACATACAACAGCGTCAACTCAGACGTGTAAACATACAACAGCGTCAACTCAGAAGTGTGAACATACAACAGCGTCAACTCAGAAGTGTAAACATACAACAGCGTCAACACAAAACAAAACATTAAAAAGTTCCAACTCAAAATGACAAAATGTGACACAGCTTCAACACACATGGACCAAGTATACCACAGTGTTTACCACGGTGTCAACACAAAAGCATAATGCATACAACAGCGTCAACACAGAACAAAACATACCAAAGCGCCTACTCACAAGGACTTAATGCAACGAATGTTAAAATGGAAGAGCGAAATATTCCATATCGACAACACAGAAGACAAAACTATAGCACAACATCAACACGCAAGACAGAGCATACTACAGCGTCAACATACAATCATATGATATACCAGGGCGTCAATGCACACGAACAAATTCTACTACAGTGTCAACATACAATCATATGATATACCAGGGCGTCAACATATAATCATATGAAATACCACGGCGTCAACGCACACGAACAAATTCTACTACAGTGTCAACATACAATCATATGATATACCAGGACGTCAACATACAATCATATGATATACCACGGCGTCAACGCACACGAACAAATTCTACTACAGTGTTTACAAACAAGGGCAAAATATACCACGGCCGCAACACATAATGACAATACCTGATATAAGAACACAGTTACAGAAAGGAAACCCTATACAATACAGTCGCTCTCGAAGGAAAATGATTTCCTCTACCACATATATTTGACTTATTATGGTATATTCCGTTAAATCTGGTAAATTGTATACATCATTGTCGATGTGAGACACTCCAAACAAGTCCTTATTTGTTATGAATAATTGAAATTGATATCGTCGATAGAAATCGGATCATGACGGAGGCCCTGACATCTCTTGAAAACAAAAGTCTTTTAGGTAAAATCCCTGGCCAAGCAATGCATTGGTGGTCATCGATACCTATTTATCTAGGCAAGCAGAAAGACCAATGACAGGTAACACGAATAACTGAACTATTCTTACTCTGTATGTATGTTATTAATTAGAAAAGGAAACTAAACGATGAAATGATCACATTTGCATAAATTACTCGTAAGAAGGTGCTACCGTATTGATATATATATGTATATATGGCGTTTTAAAATAAGACGCCCGACCATTATTGCCCCACTCTAGGTAAGATATGTGTGTTCTAATCCACTCACTAACACCATCATCTGTAAAGTAGATGTTCGGCTTAACAATATGCGTCATAGTATACCATATTGTTTATTTGTATTCACAGGTTATCCAAGAGATCACCAAACAGCCGTTAGTAGGGGTCATGTATTTATAGTTCGTCTCTGTTCACTGGAAACACAGTGTACGTATAAGAATATCTTAAATCAGATTTTGTCCGTTACGGACCGTTGATTAGTATGTAAGTCATGAGCTATTCAGCTCGGAGTCAATTTACCTACTGCTTGCTATCTAAAGTGACATATTTTCGAAACAAAGATATTTGTTGTGGTTGTCATTAAATTTTCAATAAATAATATGTAAATTAATTCAGCATATTTGAAAGTGTCCGTGAAATACATCAGTTAGTATTTGTTAAGTTAATTATGCTTTGAATAACTGCGCTATGATTTACAAAGAATAATACCTTTAACAACACTTTTAGTACATGTATTGCTAGATTGAATCATGCTTTACCCATCTAAACCCTTGATAATAGCTTCAAGATCAGCTAAACTGAAACATTTCAATTGTAACACCTTTACACAAATTCCTTAAGGCAAAACATATGGAAGGTATCATTTCATTGTGTTGAAACAATATGATTTTATAATAAACTTGTTTAAGACTCGGAACAACATCTAAAGTCATAGCTCCTTGCTTTTAATACTATATCCTTAACAAAATTACGACAGCGATTCATAAAACTTTCACAGACTCGAACACAAATGTGACTTTGACATTGTAACATATGACTGACGTCTTTTACATTTAACCAAAATGATGAATAAATACCTTAGACGCTATTTATAACATGAATATCTTGAAACCTACGTGAGGCATGTCAATACCGTTAAGGCATTTGAGCTGGATTTAGTTCAAATTACATAAACCATTCAAATAAAAGTTGACTATAATATGTGGGTGCCCTTCGGCTCTAATATACCTAATGGTAAAGCTTACAACCTATGTAATCGCCCGGTTAAGTATTTTAACAATGCAGCTTTAAATATGGCATACAGTCAAGCTGACAACCTAAGAAGAAGCATTACACAGATGATATATTTTCACCTGATACAACGTACCACGATGATACCATTCCGACAAGCTTTGGTTCTAATTGGAAAAATGCATTGATCATAAGTTTTGGTTTAGTTTGGTTTAGTATTGTTTAACGTCGTGTAAACTGTTATAACTGTTGTCTTTAGGAGGTTCAGTATAAATTTAATAGAGGCTCATATAAAAGGTAACGAATGTGACCGAGTACATACGCACTAGTCACCGAATTGTCACACAATAACATTTTAATGGTTGTGCTATATGGACCTGTCTACAGCCGATACATTGTTAACGTATGAACACTCAAGATTTTTTTTTTCATAAAGAAACAAAAAGATCATTTATGTGAATTTCATTTATGCTTTCTCTAAAAGCTAAAATATATTTCATTAATGTTTGGGTTTACTTTTAAAAAAGTAACGTCAATGTGCAGGTACAGCTGAGCGATGGTTTACGTAGTTGTCCTATAGCAAGTATATAACGTTAATGAGCAGGTACAGCTGTGCGATGGTTTACGTGGTTGTCCTATAGCAAGTATATGACGTTAATGTGCAGGTACAGCTGTGCGATGGTTTACGTAGTTGTCCTGTAGCAAGTATATAACGTTAATGTGCAGGTACAGCTGTGCGATCGTTTACGTAGTTGTCCTATAGCAAGTATATACCGTTAATGAGCAGGTACAGCTGTGTGATGGTTTACGTGGTTGTCCTATAGCAAGCATATGACGTCAATGTGCAGGTACAGCTGTGCGATGGTTTACGTAGTTGTCCTATGGCAAGTATATAACGTTAATGTGCAGGAACAGCTGTGCGATGGTTTACGTGGTTGTCCTATAGCAAGGATATAACGTTAATGGGCAGGTACAGCTGTGCGATGGTTTCCGTAGTTGTCCTGTAGCAAGTATATAACGTTAATGTGCAGGAACAGCTGTGCGATGGTTTACGTGGTTGTCCTATAGCAAGTATATAACGTTAATGAGCAGGTACAGCTGTGCGATGGTTTACGTAGTTGTCCTGTAGCAAGTATATAACGTTAATGTGCAGGTACAGCTGAGCGATGGTTTACGTAGTTGTCCTATGGCAAGTATATAACGTTAATGTGCAGGTACAGCTGTGCGATGGTTTACGTAGTTGTCCCATAGCAAGTATATAACGCCAATGTGCAGGTACAGCTGAGCGATGATTTACGTAGTTGTCCTACAGCAAGTATATAACGTCAATGAGCAGGTACAGCTGTGCGATCGGTTACGTAGTTGTCCTATAGCAAGTATATGACGTCAATGTGCAGGTACAGCTGAGCGATGGTTTACGTAGTTGTCCTATAGCAAGTATATAACGTTAATGTAATTGTATCAGTTTTTATTCTAGAGTGCTAAAAAACAAACGTCTTTATCTATGAGATGTTTATTTGTTAATAAAATTATGAGTTAGAAGAAAGTTTTAATGCTTTATGATACTCTTATAAAGACTTATCACACTCTTAACTACATGTATAGAAATAACCATTCATCTAAATTAAGTACCATAATGTACCCATAATTCATTATATCATGTTATTCATAGGTATGTTGAATATACCCTTAATGTTGGGTATATTATCAATTTAACGACTAATGAAAAAGCATATAATAACGCTAGGCAAAATTTAAAAGCAGAATATTGGTCTTCTATAGAGAAATATGATCACAATATATGAATTTAGTAATATTCATTATGTTCAAATGGATGATTATAGTTGATATTGTCGTTTTTTTGGGTCTAAAACGCAGCAAACCTATTAATAACAAACGTGTTCTTTTACAATTCATTCCTTCATTGACCACGGTAAACACGGTACAGACCATCAGGTGTTTGTCTGTGACAACACGCTAGGCACGCAGCTCGGTATTGAAATGTTCAGGGGTATTTGGGTCCTACCAATTAAATAATCATATGCTTGATAAGACATGTCAAGGTCGTGTCTTCGCATTTGTTTCCTGACAATTTACCTATCAAATTCAAACTAAAAAATGATAAAAAAAATAATGATATAAATTATAACACTTTCTGAACAGTAGGAGAAGGCTTTGATGTAAAACCGATTAGAAACTATGTTATCGTGACACATATAGCCCGTGACCAGGTTTGACACGTAAGTACAGGTATAGTCACAGCTAAAAAGACTTACCTGTGTCTCCTCCCGTCACAATAACTACATAGTTCCTGGGGAGGACCACTAATGGGATACTGGCCCGGGGACCCATGGTTATTCCTTATTAGTGAACTACTTAGTCTTGTTGTCACCTGTGTTCCATCCTCTCTCACCTGATATTTTATATATGTGCTAATATACACCTGGGATACCGACGGTAAACACACAGAGCTTTACACTGCTAGCGATACACTAGTAATCGGTATACCGTACAGGTGGGGTAATACACGGATCACAAATGTGTTCACTCAACTGGTATAGCGGATTATTAAGAAGAGATCTCATTGGAGGTTTGACCAGCGCCAGGGAACAGTCAGCCGATTTAGACCACTTGGAGCTATGGTGTTGTAGGTATGGGTCAATGCTTAGTTTATAGTCACGATAATTAGAGACCACTTCATGTATTGACTGGAGATGCTTCGATAGCATTACATGTCAGCTATTCTGCTAATAATAAATCCCTCCTAGACGATTTAACACAGCAATATCGAACTGTCGTTGAATGTGTTTGTCCATTTCTAAAACAGTATCACACTTCGGCAAGGCAATAAGACATACCTGATAGCTCTAAGCGTGTAATGTCAATCTGATCAATACCAACGAATGTGTCCCTGGCAGTGACCACACAGAGGAATTGATTGATAGGAAAAGAGTACGGTATATTTCAACTCCACTTGCATGATGTCAAACATTCATACTTCATCGTTGAATCGTATGAATATGTCTGCATGACACACAGTAAATAAGTAATTCTGTATGACACACACACACACACACACACACACACACACACACACACTGGTAATGTATGACTACAGTCCTTACCAATGTTAAAATGAGCTCGTTTTACATGTAAAATAATTATTTCGCTCGTAAAAGGTAGTGAAACCATTTCAAGTTAACCTCTATTATTGTTATAAACAGTGGATTTAACCTATCATGAATCAATATCAAACCTCTAACCTTTCATACAACAAACATGAATCAACATCTAACCTCTAACCTTTCACATAACCAAAATAAATCAACATATAACCTCTCACCTTTCATATAACAAACATGAATCAACATATAACCTCTAACCTTTCACATAACCAACATGAATCAACATCAAACCTCAAACTTTTTATATAACCAACATGAATCAACATCAAACATTTATCCTTTCATATAACAAACATTAATCAACAGCTCACCTCTAACCTTTCACATAACCAACATGAATCAACATCAAACCTCAAACTTTTTATATAACCAACATGAATCAACATCTAACCTCTAACCTTTCACATAACCAACATGAATCAACATCAAACATTTAACCTTTCATATAACAAACATGAATCAACATCTAACCTCAAACCTTTCACATAACCAACATGAATCAACATCTAACCTCTAACCTTTCATATAACAAACATTAATCAACAGCTCACCTCCCACATAACTATTATGACTCAACCTCTTACCAGGAACCTCTAACCGTTCATAAAACTAACATGCATCAACCTGTAACCTTTCACAGAACTCTCAGGAGTCATCATCAAATCTGTCACCTCTAACCTTTCCTATCACTAACATAAATCAACATCTAACCTCTAACCTTTCATATAACCAACATGAATAAACATCTAACTTATAACCTTTCACATAACCAACATGAATCAACATCTAACCTCTAACCTTTCATATAACCAACATGAATCAACACTTTACCTCCCATATAACTAGCATGAATCAACATAAAATCTGTCACCTCTAACCGTTCCTATCACTAAAATTAATCAACATATAACCTCTCACCTTTCATATAACCAACATGAATCAACATCTAACTTATAACCTTTCACATAACCAACATGAATCAACAACCAATCTATTACATTTCACATAACCAACATAAATCAACATCTTACCTCTAACCTTCACATAACCAACATAAATCAACATCTACCTTTTCATACAAACATCTTACCTCCCATATAACTAGCATGCATCAACCTGTAATCTTTCACAGAACTCTCATGAATCAACATCTAGCCTCTAACCTTTCATATAACCAACATGAATCAACACATTACCTCCCATATAACTAGCATGAATCAACATCAAATCTGTCACCTCCAACCGTTCCTAATACTAACATGAATCAACATCTAACCTCTAACCTTTCACATAACCAACATAAATCAACATCTTACCTCTAACCTTCACATAACCAACATAAATCAACATCTAACCTCTAACATTTCACATAACCAACATGAATCAACATCTAACCTCTAACCATTCACATAACCAACATGAATAAACATCTAACCTGTAACCTTTCATATAACCAACATGAATCAACATCTAACCTCTAACCTTTCATATAACAAACATGAATCAACAGCTCACCTCCCACATAACTATTATGACTCAACCTCTTACCAGGAACCTCTAACCGTTCATAAAACTAACATACATCAACCTGTAACCTTTCACAGAACTCTCAGGAGTCATCATCTAACCTCTAACCTTTCATATAACAAACATGAATCAACATATAACCTCTCACCTTTCATATAACATCAACACTTTACCTCCCATATAACTAGCATGAATCAACATCAAATCTGTCCCCTCCAACCGTTCCTAATACTAACATGAACCAACATCTAACCTATAGCCATTCACATAACCAACATGAATCCACATCTAACCTTGCATATAACCAACATGACTCCACATCTAACCTTTGATATAACCAACATGAATAAACAACCAATCTATTACATTTCACATAACCAACATAAATCAACATCAAACTTTTCATACAAACATCTTACCTCCCATATAACTAGCATGCATCAACCTGTAATCTTTCACAGAACTCTCATGAATCAACATCTAACCTCTTACCTTTCATATAACATCAACACTTTACCTCCCATATAAGTAGCATGCATCAACCTCTAATCTTTCACAGAACACATAACCAACATGAACCAACATCTAACCTCTAAGCTTTCATATAACAAACATGAATCAACATAATAAATCAACATCTAACTTTTCATACAAACACCTTACCTCCCATATAACTAACATGAATCAACATATAACCTATGACCTTTCCTATCACTAACTTGAATCCACATCTAACCTATAACCTTTCCTATCACTAACTTGAATCCACATCTAACCTTGCATATAACCAACATGACTCCACATCTAACCTTTGATATAACCAACATGACTCCACATCTAACCTTGCATATAACCAACATGAATAAACATCTAACCTCTAAGCTTTCATATAACAAACATGAATCCACATCTAACCTTTCATATTACAAACATGAATCAATATCTAACCTCTAACCATTCACATAACCAACATAAATCAACAACCAATCTATTACATTTCACATAACCAACATGAATTAACATATAACCTCTAATCTTTCACAGAACTCTCATGAGTCAACATCTAACCTCAAACCTTTCATATAACTAGCATGAATCAACATCAAATCTGTCACCTCCAACCGTTCCTAATACTAACATGAACCAACATCTAACCTATGACCTTTCCTATCACTCACATACATCAACATCTAACCTATAGCCATTCACATAACCAACATGAATCAACCTCTAACTTATAACCTTTCACATAACAAACATGAATCAATATCTAACCTCTAACCGTTCATAAAACTAAAATACATCAACCTGTAACCTTTCACATAACAAACATGAATCCACATCTAACCTATAACCTTTCCTATCACTAACTTGAATCCACATCTAACCTTGCATATAACCAACATGACTCCACATCTAACCTTGCATATAACCAACATGACTCCACATCTAACCTTTGATATAACCAACATGAATAAACAACCAATCTATTACATTTCACATAACCAAAATAAATCAACATATAACCTCTAACCTTTCCTATCACTAACATGAATCAACATCTAACCTATAACCATTCACATAACCAACATGAATCATCATCTAACCTGTAACCTTTCATATAACCAACATGAATCAACATCTAAATTCTTACCTTTCATATAACCAACATGAATCCACATCTAACCTTTCATATAACCAACATGAATCAACATCTTACCTGGAACCTCTAACCGTTCATATAACTTACATGACTAAACATCTTAAATCTAACCTTTCAAGGAACTAACAGAAATCAATATATAATCTATAACCTCTTACCTATCATAGAACTAACCTGAATTAACCTCCAATCTGTAACCTCTTACTTCTCATAGAACCAACATGAATCTATCTCTTTTCTTCATACAGTGTATAACTAGCATCATTCAACCTATTAACTCTCATTGCATTCACTCAAAACAATGTGTTAAGTTTGTTCATTTAACTCACTATATTGTTTTTGCTGCGTGTTCTGTAATGCTTTTGTCTAAAACAATAAAGTATTGATAACTTGAATCGTGCCCACGTCCAGGTGTACCTCGGTCTGGTAACTGATCCTATAAGTCTCCAGTTGTACACATTCCTATAGTACCGTATCCCTCACGGAAACATTATAAATAACAAATGCACCTGGCACTAAATGACATTCAATGTTTTGGCATGAAATATTAATTTTGTAATCATGTAATTAATGGTCCGAAAAGACCAATTTAGCGGTATAATTGGTTCCTGGTTGGCCATTGTTGTGTTTATATTTATCGTTGTTTGATATGCTTTTTGTTATCATTTCGGGGTCTAATAGTTCAGTTTTTGTATTTCTGGAATGAATAAACTCATGGAGTACGCATTTCAATTAACGCTGGTAACAGGGAATTATCCTGACTAACTCTATAAGCGCAACGGATTCGGGGTTGGTTGGAGTATGTCAGTGGTCTTGAGTATAGCGAAAATTAAACGTCCCTAAAATGAAATCGATCTACAGTATGTAGCTACGAACATGAGATATTGGTGACAGATGATGCAATGAAACACTTTTTTTGTCCCTTAAAATCGCTTTAATATCTAAAAGGTATACATTTTCAAGGAATTGCACCTCCACCAAATTTCCGGTAATTCTTTTTTGTGCTGCACCACTAACTGCTTTTGTAATAAATATTGCAACAGACTAAAGATTTGTTTGAAACGTTCCGACATTATAAAATTCAGATTGTGTATAATTATCTTTACCTGTAATGTACTCGCCGTTATTGGACGCGTTGCGGTTCAGGTAGCGTGTGGTTTGGGTTATGTTCAGCCAGGTGACTAGTTTTATTTCCTCAAAACTCTATGGAATAAGTTTTGCATTACTAATTTGACATATTGGCAATACCTATACATAGTATGCGTTGATCAAGTCAACCTGTTTTGACTTCCTGCATTAATAGGTTAATTCCACCTAGCCAGTCGGGAAAACTACCATTTTTTTTTATTGAAATTCTGCGCCCTTGGTGTATTGATACCTCCTGATGTTTTCGTGTATGCTTTATGATTTTAATATTACATTAATTTTCCCTATCATGGCCGTGAACCATTTAAGTGTTTTTCGTTTGTTTCTGTCAATACTGCATAATACCAGTAGCCTGTGAAAGCATCATCGTTAAAATTTCACAATAAAATCAAATTCACATTATACATTGTACAACGCAAATTTATTGACGTCAATTTCGCATCTCGATAAAATAACACTGCATGTGTATATTGTAAACAAGATATTATTAGGCGATGTTTATAGGGGTATGAACGTTTTTATTTGACTTTCAATAATTCTTGATCATCTATAAAACCTTGAACCTTGTAATGGAAGGACAATGTAACGTCAGACACTGGTGAGATAAGACCTACTAAAATTCAATATGTCTATCAATGGTTTTAATATACCCTTTTAAATGAAGCAGGTTCAGGATAGTAATATTCGACTCGCAGAAATGTGTGGCAAATTTCTCATATTGAGGCTAACAATGCTGTGTGCGACGGCTTGATTCTGGATTGAAACCGAGTCGTTTGAAGTATTTAGAAAGATATTAGTGTTCAAATCAGGTTTGTTGATACGTATTTACCCCATTACTCATACAAAATGTAAAGTTGTAGGAAGATCAGTCCTTTAAACGATCAATATGTTACTTACAAATCCATTAGTGTGGAGAAGGATGGCGGCGCTGTAACTCCTAGGACCCTGTTGTATTACCAAGCATTGTAAGCTTATTGATTTATTATGTCGACCTTTTCAATTGTTTTTTTTTTTTACTTTCCAGCAAAATAATGCATGTTTTATGATCTTCATTTATTTGACGATGCTCAATTAAAATCTTACAACATGGTTGTTATGGTTTATGATCAGTCATTACGTAAATATCAATTAATCTAATTGTAACTAAACATTACATTAAGCTGATAATTTTGATAGAAACAGGTCACTATACAGTACATGTACATGTATCAGCTAAGGACACAGTCTTGATTGCAGCATCAGATGAAAACGTAAATTCAACCTCCTTGATGTCAGGTAAAGGGCCGTTTTGTTGCACGGGTCTATTAACTTTAACACTTATGTAGACCATTTAGGGGAGAGACCAATCAATAACACAAAGCACCAACCGATGAAATATATCAGAGATGAAAAGGTAATTAAACTTTTGTGTGGGTTTTTTTCATCTGGTTTTGTTGTTGTCGGTTTTCTAAGCGTCCTCGATTACGACCTAACAATGCTCAGAGGGCGACCGATCATAAACTGACTAATCAAAAGTCAATAGAATTTAAATTTAGTACTGCTAGTAGTTTTCTAAGCTGAAATCAGGATGAATTACCATGACGGAAACGCAAAAATAAGAGAAAAACTCGACAAATGCCTTTTTATAACAGTTTAATACAAAATGCAAAACTCCTGTTATATTGCACTTAGGTTTGACATATATCATATAATGCCAATGTAATTTTTATCGCATTGGCAGGCCATCAGATGAAATGATGAAAAACACTATACTAAATAGAGTCCAATTAAACGAACGTGATATATATTTTAACTTAGTGAGCAGTTCATTTGTAAATGTTTCTTTTTGTGTATATAGTGTGAGCCGTGATAATCTGTCGACAGGATCAGCTGTTTTATACATCACTGACGGAGGATTGGCAAATATGGCGTCGACCGACTTCCGGTTTAGCAGAAAATACCTCGTTGATCAAAATGTTATTTTGATTTAAATTATTGATGGTTTTATAAATGCTAAACAATAGGTATAGAATTCTTTTTTTTATTGGCACGTCTAGATTTCTATTTTCTTTAATTGGCAGACGTGCAGTAAACGAAGTACATTTTCATACATGTATTCACATGTAAACAATAGAGGTAGCCAGGCCGTCTCTGGTTTTTCCTACATTCTGTTCTTTCAATGACTCACCTGTAAAATCAATGTTAAAACTATCTTATACACACAAAACAGCATAATTAGATTGCATGTGTAATTATCAAATTAATAAAAAGGTTATGTGGTATCGATTATGACATGCTAATAATTTTTATCGTTATTTCATTAAAAATACTTAATTAATCAAATCAAATCAATAAGCATGATTCTGAAATGTAAGCAAAACCTTGATGGAATAATATCGTTTTCAACAGTAATGTCGTAATATTTGTTTTGTTTTATATTTCAATATACCTACAATGTGAATACATGTCAGTTTTCCACGAGAGATACATATCCTACAATGTATTGTGCTTATCATAGATATATCCAAACGAATGTCAATTTATCACGGTTTTTTTATCCGTATTAAGCGACTATATGTTTATACATTCGTACACTGTATATGTATCACAATATTGTGATATCAATAAATCAACCCCGGAGGACATAGACAGACATTTAAACGCTTCCGTTCAAAAGACTGACATTGGAAAGGTGAGATAAAGACGTAGCCGTTAAATTGCTGTACCAATTATAAATGTTAATCGTCACAAATTAATTAGGCATATCCAGGAATTTTGTACGAGATTTTCAGATTATCTTAAACATTGGACAAATTGTGGAGGTTATTTAAATATAGAAGCCAAAACTCGATTGACCGGATTGTTAAGCAGGTCAACATTTTCCTTGTTCTGACGTCATTTATAAGTTGCGTTTACAGTAAGTAGTTGACAACAGCGATTGATACTTAAACTAAGCTTCTGTCATAACCAAAGTCTGGGGATTTGTAGGAACAATTCTTTAAATGTCAAAACTCAATATACAGTACTGTATATGTTTACCAGTGTGGGACAACCTGTCCCTTACCGACATTGATCAGATGCTATTTGAGAGAAGCTCTTCGTCTCACGATATAAAAATGTTTAAAACCCAGGTTCTTTAACGCATAGCATATATCCAAATGCTATATCTATTTAAATACTTTAGAGAAAAATATACTTCTGGTATTATCTTTGCGTATCGTGCGTTTTAATCACATTTTAATTATGGGTTTGAATCATATCTAATTATCGTAATTATGTTTCTCATTCTTCTTGTCTGAAACATGTTATCAATCCAAGCTGTTCTTAGTCAGCTTGTTTAAGAGTTAAAGCAAATGTGGGTCAAATATTGCATATGTAGTGATAGTATGCAACCAGTTATTTTATTTGTTTCAATGATAGTTGTCGTTGCATAATGCAAAAAGAGTACGGTTATTATCCATTACATTTTACACATACAAAAAGTTGATTGAGGAAATAAAACATTTGTATTAATAAATTAACACCTTTACCTTTAATTTCCGATTTTCTTCGATGATTAGTGAAGGTGGTGGTAGATTTTTTTAGCATTTCAGAAAACGAATTTTGTCTCTTTTTAGATGGTTTTGATGATGATGAAGATGACGAAAATGTGGATGATGGGTAGTCAAACGATAGAGGTCTGGTTAGTATAACTCGTCTTGGATGGTCATGAAAGTCACCCTCAGATTCGTCTGGGCCGGGTGAATTAACAAATCTTGTTCTTGTGACGTCCTCTGAGTATTGTCTCCGTACCGGACGATGAAGCTTTCCTCCTTCTGTCGGTGACATGGAATGAGAGTGTCCAATTCGTCGAACGCCATTTTTGTTCCTGTCAGTTAGAATCTCCTGTGGGGCGCAGCAATATTCACGTGATACATGTGCAACGATCTGATCAACTAATGAATAATTACCTAGAACATCATCGACAGGTTCGTCGACGTCTTCTCCCTCACTACTGTAATCGATGCTGAGTTGTTTTAACACGTCTGGTTTAATCTCTTCATCACTAATATCGTTTTTTGGTTCTGTCTCTAGATTATTGTCCTGTTCACTTGTCTCGATGCTGCCCCTTTCTGATAAAACCGGTTCATGTTTAAGAACAGTGATTTTTCTTTCGTACACAATATGTTTATAAGCATCTTCATTTATTTTATTTTCTGCAATGAATGAATCTTTTAAAGTGATGCTGGTTTCTGACGTAGACCGATAAGTTGATTTGACGATTTCCTCGTTGTCATTCTGTTGGTCGGCCGTCCCCTGCTTTCTTTTTTTGTGTCCATTTTCCAAATTGACATTTTCATCATCTGTTACATAAGATGCTAGATGATTTAACGATATTTTCATTTTAAGGGTACTGCATTGCATTACAAATTATGTGTTACTTAATATACATGTTTGACATCCGTTGATTAATAGCTTTTATGATTCTTTTGTGATGTAGGCCGAAAAATCTCAACCCGAGGGAAAGATGTTTGAAGTTAGCACGAGTCTGACACAAAGGAATATAAATAAAACATTTAATAGGTACAAAGAATATACCAAAATATGTAAGACAATATGTATAATAATTAACATTATTGTTATCTTGCGAAAAGTCATTTCAATAAATCATTTCAATTTTTTTAGCTGGTGATATCAAAATATGTCACATAATAGCAATTCACATGTCAATGGCAAGAAATGTGACAACACAATAACAGATGAAATAGTCTACCAAATGACATGCATGCAGCTAGATTTCTTGCATTTGAAATCAACAACTATAGAACAGTTTAGAGCACACAGACTGGGTTACTTAAACATGTGCAAATTAAACATACATATTCACGATATCACAATCCTTGTTTACAATTGTTAGTTATTATTTACAATATCGCACACACTCTACCCGTGAACTGGTGGTCGGCGTGCATTGGATTAGTGTGAACTGCATTCTGTGAAGGGTGGTGAAACATCACGAGGTCACGTAAAACAAAAACACGTGCTCAAGGGTTAGTCAACAAATAAAAATAACCATTATCCCCAAACATCCCTTCACATGTACGTCCGAACACTAGACACACGGATTCAAATGATCACACGAGTTTGTCTAAAGCAGCAAGACGACACGTCATTTCCATGGCAACACATCAAACAGGATATTATTAGTCAACAACACATAGCCAGCACCAACAACAACATCCTGTATCCAAGGACGCTCAAGCCGGCGTCTCTACCGGAAGTGGAGAGCACATAGACTCACCGGAAGACAAGGAGGACAGTGATACAACATCTAAATTTTCCTCTGCGAATCCAAGTTCCACCGTGAAGTCCTCCTCGAAAATACCTGCCACAAAACATCAACAGTACCACTGTTTTATTCAAGTATAATGTATTTCAACAAAAAACGAAATGGAACATCATACATTTATCAAATAGTATTGTACCGTTTAACAGAACCGGAAATTCAGAATACCATAAAACATTTTAGTTCTTTATGAAATATTTCCTGTTACATAACCAAAAATTACAACAGAGACTTACCAACCTGTAGAAAAACTTTAGAAACATTTTAGTTTCTATTAGATGTAGCCTTTTTTTCAAGCAGACTAATGTTAATACACTGTAGAAGGACATTTCAGCAAGTGTCAAGTACAAATGTAGCTCGTGTTTTTAATCTAACATGTATAGGATTTCTGGATAGCCGATGTAATCGTTCAAAATAAGAAAATAACAGTGGTTTCTGTTTATTTACACAGATGTACCAAATGGTTTTACAAACTGTACCATTAGGCCACAGGCAAATATGTTCAACAATTTGTCAGATTCTTCTTGTTTCTTGTGAACAAGCTTAACTCACTAAACATAACTCATATTTGCTAAAAAATATAATAGTTATCTTCTTTATGTTATGTAAAGACCATGGGACAAACACATATTGGTTACGTTTTGATTGCACAGGAAGTCCACGTTGACAGGGTGCTAAATTGTAAAGATATTTAAAATCGGCACAAAAAAGTTCTGGTTTAAGTATTATTAATAAGAGGCATGCCTAACTACACTCCTAAAAGATTGTGTTGGTATCAAAACTACCGATGAATAGAACTCACACCTTGATCGAAACCTATACAACAGTATGGGTGGTACTACAATACAAGTTGACGAACCGTACACATAATCTGTCGCCCATTATAAGAGGTATACGTGCCTGTTCATCACAGATATGTTGACACAAAAGAAACACATCTATAGATATAAGACAAATCTTTCAAAAGACATATGCACTACCATGGAACGGTACACATGATTACAATCTCTCCAAGGCCACTTGAAGCTGGATAGATTTTTTTTATATATAAATAGTAATTTAAACTGGCAATGAACAAGCACTACTTCTCAAGCGGTTGTGTAATGGCATCAGTAGTTTACGTTTGACTTGCATGGTTGATATTTACACAAAAAAAGAAAGATTTTAGGGGCTTTAAATATTCTTCATAGCTTAGGTCAAAACACGAAAGCTAACGTTATATGATGGCAGCTAGGGCCATATGACGACAGGTAAGATCAAACGACGACTAATTTCACTGGAAATCGGGTACTCTCATAAGCTATGACAACAGACTTCCCAGATTAACATAGTAAGACACTAACGAAATAAAAGATTAAATGCAGAAAAATAGTAAGAATAGAAATCTGATTTGACGTAAGTGTTGACACAAGATCATGCAGGACACGTTTTAACCACCCGATTCTGTAGGACCAATAAAGAAGAAGAATCATACGAACATACAGTAGAAAGGAGCAGGCAAATATTCTTTTCATACCAATACATGTATCTTTAATTATGTTTATGCATATATCTAGACTTTCAATTATCACCGACGGAAATTGAGTTATCTCCCTTCTGTAAACAACGAAACATTAAAAACTTTAGGTCATAGGAGTGTATTGCTTAACGGAAATAGGAAGTACATCCCTAGTTGAAAATCCAATGTTGGGAGACAGTATCACAATTCCCCATATTCTAATGTTTTAAATTGAACTGATGAATGTTGTACGTTTATTATTGACAGAACAGTGTGTTCTTTCAATATTAAAGTATTTCAAAGCAATCCAGGCATTAATTCAGTTGTTTTTTAATCAATGAGTCACATGTGTCCATTTTTCTGTACTTCAGGAAACCGTCAACCTATTTCACTACTGTGAAGTTTTTCAAGAACGATAACTCTTACATGCAATTACTATGTGTATATCGTTTTATTATAAAATGTCAATTTTTAATCGTTTATAGATAATTAATTTTACACAATTTCAGCATTTACGAAATTGATATACATTAATGCAATACTAATCTATGTCAGTACCATTTTTATTGACTTTATTTTGCAAAAAAAATGTGTTTCATTTTTGTTTTCAAAATTCACTCCTTTTTAAATAAAGTTCCATTTAAATTCCTTAAAATTCTGACAACCTATTTTTTTTTTTTTTTGTGGCGGAATTTTTTCTTTACTTCAAAGTAGATATAACTACCAAATTTGAAGGAAATCTACTGAGAAATGGCGACACAATCCTATTACCTTAAACGGAGAAACTTTTTATCATAAAGATCGCATGCGATCACTGTTCTTTTAAAAGTCATCTGAAATAATTTATTAAATTTTATTATTTTTTGCCCGATGTGCTGTAAAATCCGTATGTTTATGAACATAAGGAGTATAGTTTCATTTGGGTGTTTATGAGTTTTCATAAATGAAAAATAAATACTGTATAAATTTACGCCTTGAGTCGTTTAGAGTATTAGAAAACTTTCATTTAAATATTCTTGGTAAGTAATTCTCTAATTAAAACTCCTTAATTTTTCTTAGTTCTCTTAGTAAATTTTACTTTTGACATGTTATTTGTATTGTATTTTAATTGCATGTGTTTACTGACATGATCCAGCAAGCTAATTACGATGTGGCAGGAATAGTGAAAATTGATTGTTACGTCATTATCGATAGCTGATACAAGACCGTTAACATCATCCTACTTTAGGATTAGTTTAATTTATTCAAACAAATCAAAGGTAGCGATTTAAAAACAGAACATCAGAATAATGTCAACATTATGTAAATAATATACTTACTTCTCCGTTTCTCTTTATTTGTGTTCTCTACCGGTACTTGCATCGTTGAAACTATACTTGACTTTTTCTTGTCCACTTTCTTTTTCTTTTTCTTTTCTTTTTGTTGTTCGATGTCACTGAAGGACTTACTGAGGGGTCGTCGAGGTTTCTTATTTTCCTTTGAATTCACGACACCAAAACCTGGTTCCACTGAGCTGACAGAACGTTCGAGAGTCCCGTGTCCGGCGTCAGAGCTGACGCTGCTGACGTTGAGACCGGATGACATCGACACTGTTGACGTCATACCGACGTCACTCACAGTGCTATTTTGTTTTGAAATCTTTTTCTTAAGCTTCTTTTTCTTGTCCTTTTTTAAGGATACAACTTCATCTTCAATCGACTCGTTCATGTTAATTTGTGACGTTGATTTATTTATTTTCTTACTATCTTCAAGTTTCTTAGACTTCTTGTTTACCTTTGACTTGGTGCCGGAGACCCCACTAGACCTACCGACCTGTACTATGTCACTAGAACTCTCCACACCACTATCGTCCCTACCCGGGGTTGTCTGTGTGTCCTTGCGCGGGGTTGTTGGTGGTGTGTCTGTTTGATCGTCCACGTTCCCACTAGGGGGCGAACTTGTTTCTGTCCGACTGTCTGTGGATGATTCTTTGACATTGTCCTTATATACACTGATAGACACTGCATTATCCTGTAACTCAGGTACTGTATTGTCCACACTCTCGCCAGCAGTGACACTACTTACATTGTCCGTCACGTGTTGACCATTGGCCACTTCTAGCAAAGTTTTAGCATTATGCGATGTGTTATTTGAATCTGATCGCAAAATATCTGAAAAAACAAGAAAAGATGGTGCTAAATTGATTTCGATTCAATACCCATTCATTCATAAGATTTTTCAAATAGTGCATAGAACACATATATTCTAACACTTTACAACGAATCAGTTTTACAAAATAGTACAAGAGTTTGAAACAGAATATGTTTTCAAGGTTTTGTCACTGAACGTCAATAAACATCTCACCAACCAAACACTGAGCTGTGGAAGGAAGGATATTTACCTTTTTTACCATTAAAGTTTAAACGAGAACCCAATTCTTATCATCATCCTCAATAGAAACTTTTAAAACTCCTTAATGTTAAGATTAATTGAATTGAACTTGCTTTTGTTCAAATGTGGTGTTGAAAAAAAATGAAGCAAAGCTGAATAAAAATAATTGACAACAAACCATACCTATTTTCCCCAAATCGCCACTGTCACCATGGACACCGGACACTTCCGGTGATTCGTCACGTGGCATCTTGTCGACATGTTGGCCGTTGCTGATAGACGTAGCATGGCCACCCGTCTTCGTCATGGACCGTTTGGAGGGTTCTAGAATCATAAATGATCAACTGTATTACAATGTTCAAATCCTTTACCATGTATTTGAACAAGTGTGTGCGAATGTTTATGTTTTTGTTTCACGTTACAAATGACAAAAACAACTTACAAGCTTATAATGCGTCAATAGTAGTCGTAGTGATATGACGTCGACAACGGTGAGTTAACGGTGAGTTAATTTGTCGAATCTGCTCAGAGACCAACCCCCTTTTTTGAGAGGCCACCTTTTACTTATCACATGTACTACTCTATGAAGAGACTATCTCTGTTTGGAGACGACGTTAGAACCTTCAAAGCATTTCCGTAAAGGACGAACAGTTCAAGAGATGGCAAAGCATGCTAAGCAAGGAAGACACAGCAACGCCACTGAGAATTATTACAAGTTAATCATTACTGGATAATGACAACGCTGAGGAAGTTATAATGACAGCCAAGAAAGGGATAGGAGGGAACTACCCACCAATAGAAGACAAGGAAATAGCCAGCAAAAGAAGATAAGGAAATACCCACCAATAAAAGATAAGGAAATACCCAGCAAAAGAAGATAAGGAAATACCCAGCAGTAGATGAAATATCAGCAAATGCAGTAATATCAGCTGGATGAGAAACTGCAAATGTACTATGAGTTCTGTGCAGACACATATGGAGGGAATGAGGTATCCTAGAAGAGTGGAAAAGTATGCTAATGGTAAAGTAGGAAAGGAGTTGAACAGAGTGAAATAACTGGGCAAATATAACACTGTTACCAAAGCGAGTAAAGTGGTTTTGCTAGGGTCATCTTGAACTGACGAAGGTTAAAATAAATAGGTCAAATAAAGACAGGACAAGACGGATTTAGATTAGAGAATCTCATGTTATGACTACAAATTTGTACTCAAAATATGACTGAGCAGTGTAATGAGTGGAAAGCAATTACAAGCATCTACTTTATAGACTTTGAGTAATGTATAAACTTTGACAGTGTTGATGGTATTCTAATGAAAACTTAATGGAAACTATTGAATTACTTCGGTATTCCGGACAAGAGCAACTGGCTGATACGTTTTAAGTTTATTGAAATCATGAATGAAGAAGTCAATAAAGGAAAACCAACAAAATAGCTCGTGGTTACTTCAGGAATGAAGCAGTGGTTTTTACTCTCACTGGCTGTCTAGTTAAAATAGCAAAAGCAAACAAGACAAGCGGCTTCAAATTGGGCTGAAATAACAGACTGTATGACCTTGACTGTGCAGGGGAAATGGGACTATTTTCACATAGCACACGGTTTCATACATTTGCGGAAAATGACAGAAGTTTTGTCAATATAAGACAGATCTGGAGACATTTTTCAATATCTCGATGAGAAAATGTTATACTTTCCAACAGCAATATCAAGCTATCAAATCAGTAGTATGGTTGAGAGAATTTGAAAACAACAGGGAACAAACTCCTCACTCACAAATGTGTACAGTACATTTTATAACTTTACGATGGTCAGAAAAGATCACCGACATCGAAATAAGAGGAAAACTGACCAGGTTACCATCATGGCATCCTCGATACATCAGGGGTAACGTTCACTTACGTTCTATGCGCCCGTGAAATATGTCACAGCCAAATTGAAGGTACGCGACTAGCTATTCGATTGGTCTCAGGTGAAAATATCTGACCAATCGTTGAGTCTGATACGTGTCCTTTGAAGATTACAGAGGACCAATATCCGACTTCAAAACAAGTCATTTTGCTGTTACGCGACCGACATATTCTTTTGGTGTACACCAAAGGATCAATCTAGTCTTCTCGTGTCATCCTGAAGGTGTGAACACTGAGCCCTCGATTTCGCTATGACATATTTCAGGGGTTCAGAGAGCGAAAGTGAGCATAACCCATAAAGTATCGAGTATGCCACCATGGCAGAAACAGCAAAGCGTAAATTTTAAACGTACCGATTAGGAAATGGGAAAAGACATCATTAGCATCACAAAGAACCCTCTATATTCTAACACAAGAAGGAATAGGAAAGAGGAAATAATACAATATAAGACAGCATGGTGTTGTTTAGCAACATCGAAACAGGCAGTCGCAGGTCTTGGTTGGACAGCATAATGATTTACGGCTCGTGACAGGTCAATTTAAGACATTTCTTATACCCTTTGTGGCACGAAGAGGATTTAGACAGCATGCAATAGAATCTAACAAGCCCTGATTGAAATGCTGATGTTGTAGCTGAACACTATCTGCTATATATTTACAAATAAGTATACACTGGAATTTCGTTGATTCGAAATGATGTACATTATTGTAACTGATGTCCCGCATTTCAGACGCTTACATTCAGAAACTGAACTTAATCAAAGTGATATTTTAAGAACCAAAAAACTGAATTGTTCGATATTCCGTTGAACGAGTATTGACACCATCAAATACACAAGGAGTAATTTGTGGAAAATGAACTTACTTAAATATTGATCCAAACTGCTAATCAAGGTACCATACCAAAGCCTACATAATGCTACATTTTGTTGAGCATAATATACTTTCCTATGTTCCAAACAACAGATGGACAGTGCTGATTTTAGCTCATAACGAACATATGTTCCCCAGAACACATGTGCTAGCATCTGGATGACCTCTGATCCGGTGATCGATCACTTAAGTACCGTTAAACAAATCTCTCACTTTATCAAGTACTTGTGTATATAATGTGTTAAATGACCCGTGACGGTGACATATTAACACCACGGCCAACCTGTTAGAAGATTCCTCAGCTTAACCAAATATAACCTAAATACTTCAAATAAGTTTGTTTTCTTCTTCAAAATACATCCTTATTTTTCATTTGTATTTATATATTGGTGTAGTGATTTTAAATCTCTAAATAAGTTTTTTAAACCTTAACGCGTAATATGTTGTTTGAATATCCTAATTGAAAAACTTTATTAAATTCTTTTCAGGTTGGTCAAGCTTTTATTCATCGAATCCAGATCGGCAGTGTTCGTACTTATGTACATATACCTCTTCTTATAAAGCTGTGTTAACACCCCAACATTGATAGCCAGTCAGTCTACACAGGAACCCACTAGATGCCTTGTCGGGTGCTAAGAGAGTTTCAATAATAGTGGGGGACAGAGACGGTCTGTTCACTGCCCCTTATGTCTTAATTGACAAGTTATTTATACTGGCGAGTCATTTTAATAGCTTAATGTCTGTGTCAATGTGTCAGTTGCATTGGACCGTCTCGAGAAAAGTTGCCAACGGCACTCAGAGTCAAAAGATGTCTAATAGAATTACGGTCATGCATATAAACCTACATTGAAGCTTCTAATGGTCGGTACCACAAACGATCTGGTACGTCTGTGTGGAGATCAGATACAGGGACTTCGCAACGGCTTTGAATAAAGCGGTAGTCATCAAAAACAAATACAAGCCAAAACAAGACCGAGGTTTATAAAGTAGCCGTGGAGTGTACCACATTACTATCTGCAGAGCAGATCGTCTCGGGACCGTACTAACAAACCAAACGGCAATGTTTGTATTCCCATTTCAATGGGGTTAAGGAATTTAATCTTTCCAATAACCACGCAATATTTACCGATAGTAATTATATTTACGAGTTGCTGAAAGCAATTGGTGATACAGTTTGACAGTGCTAGTATAAAGTGTAATGCACCCAAGGCCAAGTTATGGTGAATGTGAACCAGAAATCAGTCGAGTATAACGTCTACAGGCTAGGGTTAGCCAGCGTTTGAATTTCAGTCACGTGCTTGACGCATCGGAAGCGACCTCTAGATCCTAGAAAAAATGACGGCTATTCCAGTTGCAGATGCAGACGCCAAAACAGGGTGTTGAGGAACCTCGATTTATCTTGAACTACTGCAGTCCTATGACAGTTGATTTCTACGTATAGGAGTTCTGGCATACCAAACTTGCTTTAATTTTTTTCTTGTAGTCCCAGTGGTATCAATATAATGAGGCTTGACTGCATGTAAAAAACCCGAATTCGATATAAGCGACTTCGACATTGAAGAGAGGTTTGATTATATGATCGTGTATGGCATATGAAGCATCCTCGATTTTCCAGGGGATACTCTAGCTAACGATCTCTTCACTCGAAACTCGAAGGCAAGATGTACGCGTCACATTGCGGATGATACTTTAGACTAGTTTGATCCTTTGGTGTACACCAACAGAATCGTGCGACACCGTAACGGTAAAATTGAATGACTTTGAAGTCGGGTAACGTTCTCCTGTTATTTCAATGTCTATGTATCAGTCTAGCGATTGGCCATTTTTTTTTACCAGATATCAATCAAATAGCTGACTGTGTGCGTTCGATTTTGCCAATATATATTCTAGTGGTGCAGTAAACGTAATTAAGCCTGACCCTTGGTGGATATAAAGTACAATTAGATGGTATGATGTATGGTGATATCTAGCGGTGACTCGTATCGTATGACACAAGTCCTTTACGAAATATTTCCTGTTAGAATCAAATAAACTTGGAGAGAAGATTTGTCATATTACAGTGCAGACTAATTACCATCACATCCCTTTCAAGTTGTCATTATGCTGACATCACGTATAAAGCACATACATTGATATGCTTTTCTTGGAAATGTGAATGTTAAGTGCATATGTGTCAAGCATAAATCATTTTGCTTCTACCACAAGGCCGTATAACCAGCTGTCAATCAAATAATCTATCAGGGTTATACTCTTTGTCAAGGTCAAATCCACTACCAATGTCATATAATTTACAGCCATGTCATATTCACTGTCAAGGTCAAAATCTAACGCCAAGGTCATTGCCACTAAGGTCGTAAGTATCTGTTTTAACAGGATAGCTAAATTTACATTTATTTTCAATTCTATCAGACTGATTTCGGTCAATAGTAATGAAGCAAGAAATCTTCAATGCTAAAAGCATACAATGTCTTTCGTCATTTCGCAATGCATTGTATATACATACACATGTACAAGAAACATTAAAGGGACACCTGTCGATTTGGCTGAATTACATTTCATCCCTTTGTCTCTCATACGTATGCTAAATATGCACGTGTGGTAGCAATAAGGGGAATCTGGTGTAGAATGACGTCACTTTCGTCCTCATCTCAATGGTCTTGTCTATGGAGAGTTCAATGCTTTCCTGACCTTTGTCAAATCTTTCTGCAGTATACATGTACACCAACCAAAACAGACAGACGTATTGTTGATATATACGAGTGTTGATAGTTAGGGAAATGTTTGGCGAGTCGTTTAGGATACCATCCATTGAAAAGAAAACTGTATTCGGCAAGAAATATTATCATTTCAGACAAAGCCATCAGAAGTTACAATAGCGATGTATTTAATAAAAATGTTGATATGTCTAACTAATATACAGTTTACTCTTATTGAAATACAGATAACTTCAATTGAAATACAGATATCACTCAATATTTACATTTCCATTGCACAGAGCCTAGATGTTTCCACTGGGCCCAATGAATGTTATTTCCGTTTATTACATACTTACTAATAAATACGTTGTTTTTTGTATATGCGATACGACACAATTGCTCTAACCCATATCAGCCCTCGCCGTATCACACCCCAAAACCCGTATCAGCCCCCGCCTTATCACACCCCAAAACCCGTATCACACTCCTTTTGGAAAATAAATCGTTTTTCAATATTTCAAAAATAAAAAATAAATCATAATATGGTAGTTTTTATTAGTAAGTATGTAATAAACAGAATAAAACACACCTTTTTCCATATCACACCCAGTATCAATCCTCGACCAATATCAGCCCTCGGGCCTTCGGCCCTTGGGTTGATATTGCAGTCTCGGGTTGATACTGGGTGTGATATGGAAAAAGGCATGTATTATTCTCTATAGAGCAATTGTGACGTCGCTATGCTTATGATGTCATAACTGTAACGTTGGAGATTGCACTGCTCCACTGTCAACTGGTGGCTGTTCTCTGGATGGATTTACCCTGACGTTGAAACATGTTCAGACTAATATTATGTCTTTATTTCTGCTTGAACTGTAAGTTGATTAACATAAAATGTAAATGTAAGTATTGATTGTCATATTTTTGACATTCATTGGTGTGTACCATACATTTGCTTACCTACATATTTAACATGGTGCACGAATATGTAGGTAAGCCAATGTATGTTACACACCAATGCATGTCAAAAATATGACAACCAATCCTTAATTGAAACAAACGTTTTTTTAGCAATTCCATCTTGTTTAATGCTACCTATATGGTTATATGGACCTGAGACTTTGTATCGGTTAATGCATCATTATCAGGTTTATATAACCCCATATTCACCTCATCAAAAGTCCATACTTGATATATTTCTAGATTGTATACATGACAACTGTAATAGTTAACCTGTCAGGTTGTACTACATGCCTTACAAGTTTAATACCAAAATGCGCGAATCAGAATATCTTTTATATAAAACGCGAAAAACACTGCGCAAAGCAAATACTTAACGATTGTCTGCATGGACAGCGCACTCGACTTTCACCACAACGGCCGGGTTTCGATTCCCCGATAGGACATGAAAAGAGTATTTGGTCAACTGCATGACCACACACGTTTCTCCTAGTATTTCGGTTTCTTCAGACAATACAATCGATCTGCACTTCAATCCGGGCCATCAATAGTTCGCAAAATTTAGTCGATAAAACGTGTTTAATCATTGTTGTAAAATACACTAATCGAAACCCTAGACTTGCACAAGTTCCCGACATCTCATTAGAAAGGCTCCTGTGATTTAAGTCGGTCTGTATAATACCTCTGTACTGTAGAATTCGTCTGAATCATAATGACGAATGTTAAATCATTAATGTTTGCTATGTAAATAATTATAGATAATATATACACAAACCACTTACCGTTCCCCATAGCGCTGTACCGCCCTACTTCAGAGTATATGTCTGGCCCTGTAATAGAAAACCGTGAGTAATGCCTTACGTGAGAAAATCCGAAGTGCGTTTCTACATAATATTCATAGTCATAAAACGGAAGGTATTATATATGAATAGTCTACGTATGCACCAACGTGGAGCTGTGTGACCCAAAGTAAGTTACGGCTGTAAATAAAAATTAAAAATGCAACAGTATGGTAATTGTACATATTTATGAGTTGTAGTTAGTAACAAATGTCGAGATGGCTTTCTGAGATAAAAGGTCGTACTTTACCTGCATTTGAATGGGTGATGCAACCCACTTTCTACAGTATAAATAACGAACAGGGGCCAGACATCTCGTCACAGGCTTATAATTAAAGGCCGAAGGTATACTAATATATTATAGCATATTATATATACCTGTTGTATTGATTGCTCTTGGCCTTTAGCCTGGGATACGCGTTCCGTTGTACCTCGGAGTATCTAGCCCCTGTGATAATGTGTTTACGTCCTAACATGTTGGAAAGTAAATCTTAAGAATGTATATAATTTTATATAAAAAAATATTCACACATAAATGCGAAGGGAGAACCTCGAATCTGTGAGAACAGGTGTTTTTCTCTACAAAATGTGGTTACATGTCATCTGAAACTGATCAACAATACCTGCACGTATGGCGTTCATTGTGTATTAAAGAGAGTATGTGTTTCTTATGAATGACAAATCCACGAAGGTGATAAAAATAACAATTTTCATGAAAAATAACTGGAAATTTTGGAATTCTAACGGTTCTGGAAACCGCCAATTATCATTGAGGAATTCGAGTGTCGATTACTTTCAGATCAGTCACATATTATATTGTTTTTATCTAACGGGTTTTCATAAAATTACCGAAATTAAATATTGTACTTATATTACATACATGTAAACAATGACGAATGTATAAAATACAGTGTCAGACAGTAGTTCGCGTACCAAAAACAAACTTACAAGACACGGACAGTCGGTAATACGTTTTTCTAATACAAATACATTATGCTAATGAGAACACGCTGTAAGATGTAAACTCCTTACCTTTGTTGATTTTGTCAGCAGGGTGTAAGCGATCTCTGTCTTGAAGGATAGTCCGCTCTCAATTAATCCGTATCACGCTGCACACAAACTGGCTCATTCTGTGTAGAAAAATTATAGTTTAAACATAACACTTATTCGCATATATACTCCAGTGAGGTACGTAACGGTAGATTTCCTATATCTGTATGATACAATCCAAAGAAACGGTCACTGAGTAGGAGCAGACACCACCAGCGCTCCCATCACAAGCTCTCGTGTGACCTTTCAGAGTATACGGAGAATATAGGTGTGATGAGGAGCAACGGACAGTGGTGTGATTGATGGGGACGAGTTGTCGCCAAGTCGGTCATCTGTACCGATACGCCTGGCCACACACTATTGACGATAGGCCGAGCCCCTGGGGGACACTTCGCCACATAAATAAGTAAATATCAACAAATCGATACACAGTATACGTGCTACCACGCAGTATACCTGTCTGCTATACGTGCGTGTGTGGGTATATATATAGTGCCCACACTCTCAATAGAATGTGCAATAAAATCAAGAAAATAGCTGCAAAAAATGATTACCTGACAATTAGATTTGTAAGCGAAATTCACCAGTTATACAGATATAGCTTGCTCTGTCAACAATATGAAGCTAAAAATCATTCAATCGAGACATGTCAATCAACACAGATTCAGCAGTATTGAGTACAATTTCACTGACCAGTCAGCCAGAACCATAACCTTGGCCGGTTTACTGAAGCGTAGATACACAAATAGTATATGTACCGAAAGATTGATTTCATCACAACATAGACTAGGAAATCGATAAGGTATATATACCTATTACAATGAACTGAGTGACACAACGATACAGTACAGAAAAAAATCTTGCAAGAATGACAAAAAAAAAAAGAGGAAAAAGAAAATCGTGACCTGATAAGTCTTGTTTAAATCTCAGGAAATGTTCATAAAAAAACATAAAAACACTCTTTGATAAAGCAGGTGGCACTGTGAAGTATATATTACAGTGCCGAATAAGTCTAAAGATATCGTCCTCCGTCGACTTTTGAGGCATTATACATCTCCGTTCAGTTTACAATAATTACCATGCACTGTTAACCCATAAACCACAAATCTGTACCCGCGACATAATGACATTTTAAGTCACAAGTCGATATTAAAGCTGCCTGATGTGGTAAACAGTGGTGACACATTCGACCCGTCAATTGTTGAACAGTTATACATCTTACGGAGAGTTATTTACGCCGAGTACGTATTACCGGTGTGTGAAGTCGTAGAGGTTTCCGAGTGTAATTGAGCCCCCTCGAGAATTTTCGAGATTTACAGCAGATGACACAGACATTGAGTTGCAAGCAAAGTTTAATTTGTAATCACAAATGTTACTGTATAGTAGAGTTTGTATGAAAACCAGTTCGACAATCACGGGACAAGTATGTTAAGTTTGCGGTTTAAGTTAAGTCCGGTGCATCATATGAAACATGCAATTCTTTGCATATCAAGTTTATTTTATTTTTCACTTGGACCAACAGAGCGCAACATATAAGATGCTGATTCATACTACCTGCCTACACAATGGCTGTACACACGAGATATTTGTGGCTTAGAACTCGGTATTTTTTATACCGTGGGAAAATACATACACATATCAATGAACGAGAGCGCCCATTATTATACATAATTTGAGTATTTTTGTTAAAATCCAATTCTTCTAATTAAACACCTAGATGAACATTGTAGACAATATAGGAGTCATATTTTAAAATCAGGTCAGATTATTTCTGACAAGAGAACGCAATGACGCGTTACGTTAATGAGGTATTTATTTTTCCGTATACACATCTCGTATTTATTAGAAAAAGACAAATAAATTCTTCAGACATCGTAAACAATTGTGACGTCTTAAAAAAACTGATACGGTCAGCCCTACGGGTAGTTACTGATTAAATCCAATGATAGGGATATACGTTTTATTATTTACTAACACACCGGCCTTAGGGGATAGTTACGGACACGCTAACTCCGCGGATAATCTGCATTATCACTATCGATAACGGAACTTCAGAAGTATTACCTTCATTTTATAGCGAAGCAGATAGAAAGCATAACAAAAGGAGAAACAATAGTTCATAACAAAATCGAATATCTTGTCATCCATTGTTCTTGGTGAAAAACCTTTACTGCATCGGAGGTTTCTGATATTCATCAACCAGCACGCGAATTTTCCATTGTCTTTGCAACTTTAACAGACAGCAAGATTCGACCATGCGTCGTGTTGTAGGTCTATTTAACCTATTTGCCATGCAATCTTCATGCATAATGACCATGAGCCGTTCGACCCCTTGTACATTTTTGTACATGGCCGTTGCTAATATTAGTGTTCACGAATTGTGTTTGTTGCATTTCGACCACTCTTCAGCTTTATGACATCAAACTCTTCAACGAACCAGTCCATGGTGGAATGGAAAAATAAAGACGCCACAAGTATATTTAAACATACTTCTTTAAATTTGACGAATCTAGCATATTATAATTGACGTTAATTACAAACAACAATGCCAAAGTTGAAAATTAAAGAACGTAAAAAGCAATTTGGTCCGTCTAGGTACAAATTCAAAGACAGATGCCTAAAAAAATAAGCGTTTACATATATATATTGTACTGATACCAAAAAAAGCGAGATTTGCTACCGTGAGAAAACACCAATGTATGGTTGGATAATAGCGATTTGCTAGCAGTGGAGATAACTAACGCTATGCAGCACATACATTAGACGCTATGTCAAAAAACCGACATATTATATGACAACCCGTGTAACTAGTCTCACTCCTCCAGACTGTATTAGCAGTGATATACTATCACACCTCCACACAAGGCGAAGATTTATAGTCACCCCGCAGGAAGAAATTTTCTAGGTGGGCCACAGTTCTAAATAGCATACATTTCTATGTCAATACTATTTTTAACTGTGATAAATAAATGTTCAGCAGAACTCGCACAGTAATTTTTTTATTGAATAAGGTTTACGTAAAATCAAAAGACCTAATTTGTTTTATTTACATGACTAACTTTTTATGAATCGAATGGTGGTTATTGGTAACATGTTAAAAAATAATATTTACTTTGTTCAAATCAGAACAAATATTCAGGTTAATTGCTACTGTATGTACATAAAATGTATGTCTCATTAATAATGTTGTGCATAAATAGTGTTTGGCCATTGGAATTGCATACAAAAACATTCACGTCATGAATTTGATTGTTTACCTAAACATTTTTAACAGGCATGCATATAAATATGTCATAAAATCTATGTAAATAAATTATATTCTCTATATACAAAACGACATTTATATTTCGTATGAAATGTTATTATCACAGATTATTTACATTTTTCATGAATTTCTTTTCATGTAAATTCTTGTTAAGATTCATCCTTAAATTCTGTTTCACGCACCAAAATATATATTAATAAAACAAGTAGTAATAAAGACACGTAAAGTGAAACACGGATAAAAACAAAACGGCAGTATATGAAATTAAGTGATAGAAATGAACGAATAACCGACAGCATTTGATGTACCATCGATAAATCAGCCCATAATAAATGTGATGATGTAATTTGTAAGCATTGCCACATACAGGTACTATGATAAGGATGTGCTATTCATGGCTTTGCCTCCACGTTTATTACAATTTTATAATATTTAGATATCGTTTCACCTTTCCTAGTAACTTTTATCTTTGTGACAATAAAGTGACGCGATAAATTATCATTTTTTTTCTGTGTTCTATATGTAAATCGTGACACAGGGACAGATGACCGACATTTCAATTACATCAAAATCATTTTTTGACAAAACAATTAGAACTCCCATACACATGCCATGCTTGCCCGGAGTAAGTATATTAAGACATTGTGTCACGTGGTTTAAACTTCACAGTCTCTGTAAATACCAACGGTCGACGCATCCCTCGAGGACTCAATAAATTAGGACATACAAAGTCAGGTAAGTAAGGCTCCGAGGTAACCCCTGTCAGCAAAGGTTAATAAACCGGCAAGTAGAGACCGCTGTTGCTTAGACAACTAAAGATTTAAGATATATTATAGTATATAAATTGTATTTGAGTAGAAAGATTAAAAGGATTTTTATGACCTTCAAATACGTGATGATTAAATGACAAGATGTGTGTATGTTTAAAAGCGTACCGGGGTTATTATTAGCCTTTAAAGATATCTTTAATTAGAAATTATAGTGTCGAAAATAAGGACAGCATTTCACACAAATCGGACAAGAAAACAGAAGAATGTCACTAACATATGCCGATACTTTATCACCTGTGTATTAACACCTGGGCCCAGGCATGGCTAGCTTAAACAACTTAACACAAAACTGTATAAAATGATTAATTATAAAAAAGATATTTCTATATCTAAAACAGCTTGGTATAGGGACACAAAAAGATCTTTTCAAAAAACACACACATAGACAAAGTTGTTAAATTTTCAGATTTTTCATACAAAATTAAGATTATGATTTTTTTAAGTGACTTGCTTAGAAACTCAGGTTTTCAACAGCAGAAAACAGGTGATAATTGTGAGTATACAGACTCGTTATGTATACTACATGGTTATGTATCGTTATGTATGTGAAATTAAGAAAAATACACCCACCCCTAAGGGTGTATGTTCGTCTGACAGATCATTCATATGTTTTTTTCCATCTACCGTTATTCATATTTACCGTTGTTAAAACGAGTCGTTTCTATAGCGAGACACTCATAACCTTGAAACATTAGTGTCTTTTTTTTAAAACTTTTTTTTCAACATAAGATAAACATGCATTATCAAGGAAAATATGTAGGTCAACAGTGATTAAAGATAAAGTGGTTAGGTATTTAGTCATGGTGGATAATGGATCTCATAGTTAGATATTGGGATATATAAATAACTAATGTACATGTACACTACACAAGCGAGATTAACTGGTATATTACAGCTTAGAAGTCGTCACTTCTATTTTATAATTTGGTGTTGAAGCTACCATTATTTTCAAACAACGGGCACATGTAAATGTATATAGTATGAC